GTCCAGTAGTGGATCGCAATAGGACGGTTCGTTGAATATAATAGTTAGAATTTGTTTTTCTTAGCTTTGGAAATGCGGAAACCCATTTAAAAAAAAGAACTATCCTGCAATAATACTGTCGTATCTACAAAGTTACTGTGATTGATCATTGCGTTCACTCAATGATAAAGTGACAATCAGTTCTTTGTTTCTCTGACCTATCTGGTGACGTCACACCGGTAATGTTTGGTATTATTCATAAGTACCAACATATTTTGGTGTAGCGCTGTGCGGCTTCCTATCCTCACTTGTTATGAAAATCAAGGCCATAACGCTACCGCCACTTTGGAAAACATTTCAAAATTATGTTTAATATAATTTATTAAAGGGCTCGTGGCTAAGTGGTGACCGAGTAGGTTAGCACATTGTACAGTTAAGCACTCCTAGCTAGGTCAGTCTATGAATGGGATACCATTCTTAACCCTCCGTGCCTCAGAGAGAACGTTAAGTCGTTCGTCCCGGCTGCCATTCGAACATCTGTGGCAATCGTTAAGGGTAGTTAGAGCCCTAAAAAGTATATAAAAATATAACAGTTTATCTTCAGAACTTCGATATCATCGACTAGTACTTGGGTTGTAGAGGTCTGATGGCAGTCGCTCTTCGTAAAAAATAAAAGTTCAGCCGTGTCGTAGCCGACTGATTATTTATTTTTATTTATGTAGTCCTACCTACAACTGCGTATATAAGTAGCACAGTTTATTTTAAGGTTGTACAGCAATTAAAATAGAAGCTAAGGATTCACGATAAAAGAACAGTAACTTAATAGTATATAGTCTTAAAAATACTTCAAAAACACATCAACAACTTTCCTATAGGGTTATAATGATTTTCATCACCTTAAATAAACTTACAATTTTGTCCAATCTATTAATGCGACCATGTTTTGCTAACTCCAGTCCTACACCCGATACTTCAAAGGACTTACACTTAATTTAATTTAAATAACTGAATTTGAATTCAATTTCAGTACCCTCAGCAACATTCTTCAAGAATAACACTTAATTTCCGAATTCTCACTAAACAGATAGACTAATCATTTACTATCAATTGTTAGGTATAAAAAGAAATATACATAAGTATGACTTGGGCATTTTATCTCTATATTTTCTTTGACATTCGCTTGACAAAAGTATGCGCGCATGGTCGTTGGCTTCACAGTATCAAATTATATTTGTTTTTAATGTGTCCACCACTAAATTTTAGATACTGTCATTGCTACCTTATATTGTTTTGTTATTGTGTCTTAGTAATTAAAGAGAACAGTTTATGTCACTGTACGACTACATATACATTTTTTCCTCTAGCGCAATTAGAGTTTTCTATATAGACTTTCCAGGACTTATCGACTGCCCCACTTATTTTTGCCTTAAACATGTATGTATCATCATCATCATCGACAGCCTTTAATAGTCCACTGCTGGACATAAGCCTCTCCTTAGAAAGGAGGTTTTGGCCTACTATACCACGCTGGCCAGACGGGTTGGTATAGGGTTTGTGTCAAGTTTTCCTTCTCTCTGCAGTGTTGTTGTTCTGCGTAGTTTTTTCCCTTAGTTGACTCTTACAACACCCGCGGGATGAATAGGGGTGGTGACAATCTGTATTCTTAATCCGTCACCGTCACAATACTTAATTTGTCATTCGGTATGTTCGTTCATTTGATGTGCTCATAAGAATTCAACTTCATACTGGATTTATTTATTTGCACTCTTTAAAATCATATTGCTAAAACTAAATCTAGTTTTCATTAAAGCCTAGTAATAAAAACCCATTAAAACATAATAATTAAGTAAATAAAAATAAACTACACACACAAAACACTATAACACTTAATTTGATTTAGTATTAATTTAAATAAAACATTGTCGCCGTATTAACCAATAAAACATTCACAAACATCAAACAAGTTAATTACCTCCTAGATCTTTCTCTGTTGAAGACATACGTGTATACATTTTGGATAAGTGTGATTAAAGATGACAACTAACCACTTGAGTCAATCCTAAAATCCTACAAGGCTTAATATTTATAGGGAGTTTCGGCCGCGTGACCTTCAAGACATGAGCCGATAACACTGCAACACTAATATATTTTTACACACACACACATATCTATTATAAGACATGGCTACGACGATTGATCGTGCGCCCGCGCCACACCGCCTTATCATTGCCTACTTGATAATGATTTTAAAATACATTTGCCTACTTACATGCTAACAGCCAGGGATTAGTTTTTTAGCGTCCATTTGTGATAAACCATCATTAATATAATCATCATGATCATCAGCCTATCGCAGTCCACTACTTGACATAGGCCTCTCCCACTGCACGTCACTTCCAGCTCCTGCCAGCCATCTTCCGAAATTCATCACTCCACCTGGCTGGTGGGCGTCCTACTACGTTTGCCGAGACGCGGTCTGGTTTCAAGAACTCGTTTTCCCCAACGGTTGTCGGTTTTGCGGCTAATATGGCCAGCCCACTGGCAGTTCAGCTTATAATAATAATTAAAAATATGAATGAGAAAAACAATCATAAAAATTACTTTACATCAGATCATATCATCCTTTAATAGTCCACTGCTGGACATAAGCCTCTCCTTAGAAAGGAGTTTCTGGCCTACTAAAATTACTATACGAATCACCCAAACTTAACCCTAATGAAACATAGAGTACGATATGAGAAACGTTTCTAAGTGTATGATAATAATGAGTATGAGAAACCTTAAATAAGTTAGTAAAACAAATGTATGTTATTTTATCGGCATTGAACTTAAAAAGTGTGTAAAAGTTACAACCCCAAATGTTACCTTACTCTCTATCAGTATATTATCTAAATAATTTTAGATCAAACTCAAACTCAAACTCAAACTTTCTTTATTTCATAAAATTTTCAAAATTGTTTGAAATCGTCTTCCATGTAGACTCTAAAGTCATAGATCAACACACACAAAAGCAACAATCTCTGTTTTGTCAAATAGTAACCAAATAAATTTAACAAAATCAAACCCATACAAAATCTATGATATGCCTGTGCCGATCTACAACCGCCCGTTTCCAAGGGGTTGAGCCTTATGAGAAGAAAGGGCAAACAAACTCATGGCCACTCTTTTGCAATTCACAAGTAGATACAATGGCACTATTAAATATATCACAACATTGTTTTGATGTATGCTAGTATGTCCGTTATTAAGGACTTAAAGGTGAAAAAACAACGAAGAGAAAACAAGATTAAGAAGAACAAACGAATACAAGAGAAAATGAAGTGAAACATAAAAAATAGAAAAAATAATAAAAAACATACTAGCCACACCACATTTTTACTTAAGAAAGAAATAGCCTGCGCTAATTAATCCCAAGCATTCTTGTCCTCCATGTAATCCACAATCGAGTAGTAGGCCAAAAATACGTAAATACGTAAATACGTAAATAGGAGACAAAATATATCGTTGATATTTGTCTACTAAATTCCAAAGTTTTAGAATTAGAAGTACATATCTCACCGACTGACACAAAAAAAACACAACCAACAACCAATACGGCAATATGAATACAATGTAAATGAGGCAATTATTTGGTGTTTACGGCGATGTGCAATCACCGTCACACTTGTTCACTCAAAACATTCAAAAGTTTTCGATTTCTCCTTTCTTGTGAATATCATATTACAGTGACAGCAAATGTCTACAGATATCAAAAGCTAAATTAGAGATCAGTAATTTTAAGGACTAGTTCTAACAATAGAAGACGAAATTTAATTGCTTTTTTAGTGACATAATAAGAAATAAAACATTAAATAACAAGTACTTTTAATAGAGAATTTATTCTCCAATTTTATTTGCAAGTATAAAACTGGAAAGACCTCAACCGAATCAAACGTTTATATTTATACCTCGGTCGATTAACTAAGCATACCCTAATGTTTAAAATTTGAACTAATTTATATACTCACTTTTTATCTATTCATTTCTAAGGGAATTGAACTTTCATTGTAAAACTTTACGTACCACGACATATCAACATATTCATTTAATATATTCCTACTTAATGTACTGGGCGCCTATATTCGTAGGTTTATCTGGCCATTTTCATATAATTTTAAAATTTGTAACACACTTTGTTTAAGGTTTTAACTTTCTGTACTTCTATATATAAACGTTAAGTGTTTCACGTTGTGTCATTCGAAAAATTATCTCAAACATTCGTACACAGACTTCTCTTTACGTTATAATACGTACAAGTAAAAAAGTCGAGCCTGAAGCATGTGTGATTATTTGAATACAGTAAAATTTCTACTCGCATTTTAAGTCACATATTCTTAGATATCAAAAGTAGGTAAAGCCTTTGAGCTGTGTGACGTCACATTAATCTACCGTCATTGTAGATCATTCATCATTAATCCAAACAACTCTGTTTATCACCATGTATGCCTAAGATCCCAATCTCTAAAAATAACGGCTTGTCGGGCAAACAATAAATAATAAAAAAAAAACTGTAGTTTTTGTATCAGTTTTACACGTGAATGAAATACAGACAAGAAACGACAACTCTCATCGTTTACCTAAACTAAGTATGAAAACTCAAATTAGTTTTTCCAGAGTATTGTCTCCACCCAGGCATTTTTTTACCTGTGTTATCTACTTATATTTAATTTTTGTCTTCGCAAACATGTCATTTCATTTAAAACTCATACATTGCTTTATATAAATTATTATCAACGACATATTAAATCTCTTTAATATGCTTGTAATTCTCTATATAAATATTTGTAATTTTTATGTCTTTAGCAGACATATAAAATTCTTTGTTTTACTTTTAATCTCACACAAGCAATGCTAAATGAACATAAACGGCCACAAGGTTTACACCTGCAATTTAAATTAAATAGTGCAATAAAAAACTTCATAGAATTCAAGCTAATCTTTCCTTAAGTGTTTAATAGCATAAAAATGTTTTTGTTGCTTAGGCCCCCTGATGAGGACACAGCGTCCCATGATAGTGAATTTGAAGAGGAGGAGGAGGATACAACAGCTCACTTAAAGCCTCGACGACCATTCTGGGCCAACAAAATACAATTTGTGTTGGCCTGTGTTGGTTATTCCGTTGGACTCGGAAATGTATGGCGTTTTCCTTACTTGTGTTACAAAAGCGGTGGAGGTAAGTTATTGATCAATATATGAATGTAAACTAAGAGATAACATACTAATACGATGGATCAGGATTTTTACTGCTACATCTAGGCTTCATCACACACACACTTCACAAACAATTTCTAATTACTCGTTTTTATTACCCAGGGCACTATGAGAACTTGTATGTATACTATGTATTTATAATTACAATTACGAAGAGAGCCGTGACACATGACAACCTAGGCAGATTCTTGGCTCTTTAATTTAAAAGTATCTGAGTATCAAGCGCGCATTATCCATATCATTGGCTGTCAATTGGAATTCGCAATAAAACAACTCTTGGTGTCATAAAAAGTGATGCTAAGAGTGATTAAGACACTTTGTCTAGCAACTAAAACAAGTATTTAAGTAAATAAGCTTATCATACATACATCAATATCCCGAGCACATTCCGCACTACTAGTTAAGTAATAGAGCGTCGTCTGGGCTGCTATAAATTGACTCATTAAGGCGTCAAAAAGAGATCGTGTCCCTCGTGACATTGCATTAAGTCTGTACAAATTGACGAGGATTTTAAATATAATATAAATTACCAACACACGAAATACGGACACATTTGTAATGACCATGGGGACATCAGCTATGTAATTATCACATATATTTTTTAAATAAATAAATACCGACGTAAACGAAGATAGTGACCGAAAATTGTGTGTTAATGTGGAAAAACCCCTTTATTAATAATTTGTACACCGTAATTTATTGGTTTCATTTTTTAAACAGGCCTATCTCACACCTGAGTAGTAAAACGTTTTAACTTTTTAAAACATTTGAAGACATGCAATTGCAGTTTTAAGTCATGATTGCAAACTTGCTAAAATCTTAAACAATCACCACAGGTCCCCCTTTTTTTTTTTTTTTCCTGCCTGAACAGAAAAAAAAATGAAAAACAACAAAAAAATTGTTGACACCCATAATATTTTTAAAATAAATAAATACCGACGTAAACGAAGATAGTGACCGAAAATTGTGTGTTAATGTGGAAAAACCCCTTTATTAATAATTTGTACACCGTAATTTATTGGTTTCATTTTTTAAACAGGCCTATCTCACACACCTGAGTAGTAAAACGTTTTAACTTTTTAAAACATTTGAAGACATGCAATTGCAGTTTTAAGTCATGATTGCAAACTTGCTAAAATCTTAAACAATCACCACAGGTCCCCCTTTTTTTTTTTTTCCTGCCTGAACAGAAAAAAAAATGAAAAACAACAAAAAAATTGTTGACACCCATAATATTTTTAAAAGACCTTTCTAGCGACATCGTGCAGCCTGGGATTGGCGAGAAAGAAAAAAACTCGTTTTACGTAATATACATATACTTGTAATATTTTCTTGGCGTAATTAATATATATCCATGCAACATTGTAGCTTTCTAGTACTACGAGTCTCTGAGCTAAACGAGAAATGGACAGAGAGACAGACAAAAGGACATAACAAAACTTTAAGAGTTTCTTGTTGACTCCGGAACTCAAAAAAATTTTCATGAATTATTAGACGGATTTGAAAAAGTCTTTGGCACTTGAGAAAGGTCGTAAGTTAATTAACATCACGGTCGGATCTTTAGGAACGAAGCACTGAAAATAAATACGTGTGAAATTACATCGTACAGCTAGTATAAAATAAAACATTATTATCTACAGATAGAATTAGCGGTAAAGGTAAAATATATTATGTACACATGAGCGCGGTATCGTGTCAATGTGTTTGTTTGTGTCGTTGAGTGTTAACGATGTTGGTTGACACCGAAGCAACAACACGAACCAATAATACTAGAATGTGGTGTGAATTGTAGATGATGCTTTGAACAAACGTATGCTCGATACATATAAAATGTAAATTTATAGAGAAACGGTAATGTAATGAAATCGCGCTCGGTAATGTAGATCTTGTCACTGAATTCACGTAGACGTAGATTGATTTTTTTTATCTGTTGGAAACAATTCCCTTTCTCTTTGAGTGTAAGAAACTCAAAATTTCAGAAATATCTACTGAGTACTAAGGGCGTATAAGCATAGCAAACAAAAAACTCTAATCCGCATTTTCTCGCGAAATACCTACTCTTGTTAATTCTCTAAGCTAAAATTTTATTTGACGGACTATAAAGTAAAATTGTCTTATCTATTACCTACATCTAATAAAACTGTATTATGTACAATTTAACCTAGCAATTATGATTATGATAACAATAATAATTTAATAAAAAAATATAAAACTTACAATCTAGTTATTAACGATTACAGAACATTAACTAAAATTATAATACCAACTTAGTTTACTAAATCATCATCAACAGCCTTTAATAGTCCACTGCTGGACATAAGCCTCTCCTTAGAAAGGAGGTTTACTAAATAATAATAATAAATTATAGACTTTTGTATTTAGCTACTCAAAGGCCCGTTTACGGCGGTAATAAATTACTTCCTTTCTGCTTAAAACAGCATTTACTAATATTATTTAAGATTTATTAACAGTAACTTACATACCTACCTACTATTAGTATAAGTTTATATCCTAAACTAAAATAATAGGCATCTACTCGTATCACATTATGCCTATTAATATTCTGCAAGTAACCTTGTAAAGGTTTTGCAACTAGAATCCATTGTGGACACGACAATTGAAAACTCAACTCTAAGCATCTAATCAGTGAATACTACGAATGTGGGTGTCGAACCGTTAGTGCATACATGTGCTCATTCATGGTAAAGGATTATTTAAATACTTATTACCGATAACGGTTTCCACGTAAATCTAAGAAATCAGTGTAGGTATTGCATAGCGTACACCACAGGAAACTGCTTAGCGTTCCATGATATAGAAACACTATGATCTTCTGATGTCGTGTGCATTAGCTTGATGAAACCTGAGTCGCTACTTGGGAACGATGTTGGGTATAATATCGTAAGATAACTAACAACGATCTGATCTTTTGTTCAAATATTTAATACACACGCACGCAAAAAAAAAATATAATAACACAACCCAATATTTTTCTGAAATGCCCCACGTTGGAAACTTGCAGACCTAAACTAAAGACTCTAAAGTCGGGTAGGTACACACACGGTAGCAACAATCTCTGCTTTAGCAAAATAAATAAAAAAATATATAAGTATGGAAAATCTATAGCTGACGCTAGCCACAAGCTGAGCCACTAGGTAGAGCCTATACATTGTTACATAGACCGCTGACAAAGATACTTTTATATTTTTAAATTCGTACATGCATATTTAAGACAAACTACAAACAGATACAAATTGGGCGTTAAGCCCGCCGTTGTACATAAGTGCATAAAGTTGTAAATAAATAAATAAATAATAATAATACAAAACAAATGATCATTCTCATCACACAATATTTGTCCAGTTAACTGTTACCAACATCACGGTTTACTTTAAACTTGTCCGTTTCATCATGAATCATTGTCGAAATACATAATAATTAAAAAATCAATAAAAAATAATTGAAAAATCGGCGCCCGCCATTATTCTTAAATATGTATAGTTTACGAGAATCGAATGAGACATTTTACGTAATTTTAAGAAAATGTGGCTTACTGGTTATATGACAGAGATACGCGAGATAAAAGTATTAGTCATTGAAATGAAATAGGTAATTCTTTTTGAATTTATTGCAATGTTTTTTTTATTTTTACTGACAATCCCTTCTAATACTGGGTACTATTTGACTTGTGTATATTAGTCATTGAATAACTATTTACTTAAAACCGTCTGATGGTTGAATTTCGCTAGTTGTGTCAGTCTTATAAAGGAATACGTGGAATTCTTCGTATATCAATTCGATACAGATAACTGGCTTTGTATCAACCTTTTGCCAAACCTACAAATGACGCTATTTACAACATACAAAAAGACTATATACAGAACTAATTGTCACACATTGTCGAATGAGTAGACGACTTATAATTGTACCAGTTCCTGTAGGTCAATTCATCGGTATCAAGCATATAATTGGCACTGTAATTATGATCGCAAGAAATACTTTAAACGTAACTAATGAGGAATTCTCAGTTTAGAAATATACTTATGAGTATACTTACTACTCCTTTTTACGTAATGTTTAAAAAATAGATAATGTGATACATAATCTACTTTAGTAGCAATTACGCTTTATTTCTATAAGTACTATAGACAATTTTTTTAAATCAAAAGTTGCTTATTTGATTTTACATATTACTTTAAAATATTTATTTATATAGATGTATAGATTTAAAAGTGTTTCCGGATGTTATTCACATACTGTCATTGGGTCTTTTACATCTAATTTTTTGGTAAAAATTGTTGTTAACAATTTCCCATAACGTATACTTACGCTTTATGTTTTATTTATTAAAAAAAAATGTAGAATCTATTTTATTATTAGTTATTGTTATTGAAAATGTACGGTACTGCATTTCTTAATAGTAATTCTAATAAGATTTTGGAGCCACCTTGTTGTTACAAAACCAGAGAGGGAACAAAATGAGTTGCTTGATTAAGGCATACCTATACATATATATATCTTTAATACCTATTTCAGTCATGCTCAATAATTCTAGTTCGATAAATAGAGCAAATAAAATAATACGTAGTAAAATACACTTACAGATAGGAACTAATAGATTTTTTATTGTTTCAGGAGCATTTTTAATACCTTACTTCATAATACTCCTAGTGTGCGGTGTGCCAATGCTTTTCATGGAATTAGCCGTGGGCCAATATACTGCTCACGGACCCATTGGTGCGCTTTCACAAATATGCCCACTTTTTAAAGGTGAGTTCTTTTAAAGTACTTCTTAAACAATAATGTAAATGGTGACCTCTCGTGACAAATAAAGCCAGTAGTAGGTAGACCAGTAGGTCCATCACAATACATGGATGAAAAAGTAACATAGAAGTAGTACCTACCAAGCACAGTATAAATTATTGAGATTTATTAATAAGCGAGTCTGTCATGGTTGAATCCTGACACTAATATGTATTTGCGCACACTTTTTATCCGGTGGGGTGACGGTCCAAGTTGATTTCCACACGTGAAAAAAAAGATACTTTTAATATAATATATATGTTTTGTGTATTATTATAGATATTGCATTTTAATCATAGATGCAACTGTCCCTTACCATACCGTGGCAACTTGTAAGTAAGACAACACTCAGAAAATATTTGTAAAACATGTTTGTAAATTATGTATTAGTGTATGTTTTCTAAGTTGTCCTATATAGATAAATAAATAAATAAATAATATTATTTAAGTGCCTGATTTTAATAATTGTACTTACTAGAGGTAAGTTCTTTATTAAATACGATAACATTGCCAGGATCATGATTAGGTAGAAATGTTTGATTTTATAATGGTGCTATAAAAAATTGTCGTATGATTTTGTCGACAAATACCGAATATCATAACAGACACCGCATAGGAATATGTTGAGTGGTTCTCAGAATTAACTCGTAACCTTCGGAAATATACAAGAATGATATTTTTTACTTATGGTTTCAGGTGCTGGCTTAGCAAGTGTAGTGATCTCATTTTTAATGTCTACTTATTATGCGGTGATAATCGCATGGGCGATATACTACTTCTTCACGTCGTTCAAAACGGAAGTTCCATGGGCGAGCTGCTCCAACCGCTGGAACACGGCGCAATGTTGGGTCCCATCTCACAACCACACAAAGCCGAACGGTTCTCAAACACCCACTGAACAATTCTTTGAGTAAGATTTTATTTCTATAGAAAATATAAATGTTTAGGTGCCATGGGCAGATTATTTATACTACTACCAGTAGTTCGTCCTGTTTGCAAAAAAAAACGGAGCAAACTACCCACTGTCATTTTCTTCAAAACTAAATACTACAATCCTACTTAATTATAGTGTCCACTGCAACCCTTATAAAGTAAAAGCTACTCGTATATCTTGACGCCACTTTTTATAAGTGACAACTACTTGAAAATCATAAGCTTGTTGTTTCTAATTCAAATGTATACTGTAATTTGTATACTTAAGCTCAATCTATCTACGTATAAAATACATATAAAAATACATTAGAATACTACTGTACATAAATCTCAGTAAGTGTTATTGTGACGTAGTATAAAAACTTTAAAGTATCTATATTGCAAGTCTTTGTCTTGTTGTTCAAGTACACATAGGCAGTTACAAGGATAATGTACTTTTAGTTAAGTCGGTAAAATCTTCGACAAGACCAAACTAATTCATCCTGTTTGCGGTATAAGTGAAACTGAAAATTAAAGACAAGATAGTTTATAATCTGGGCATTAACTTAATCAATCTAAAAGAAAGTATCTTATTCTGATTTGTATCGCAGGTTTAAGAGCCAATGATTACAATGTTATTAAAACTCAGCTACTTATCTAAATACATTACAAATAAGCCTCATGAAGTTTAACATAATTTACTGTATGGACATTGCAAAAGCATAGGGACGTCGTGTAAGTTCCAGTTATGGGATAAAATTGCAAGTAACAATATGTTTTAAGCCTTTGAAGCCATTTTCTGACGTTGGTATCGCTTGGTCATATCGAATTAGCGATAATGTAGTTTTAAGACATTCCTACGGACTCACTAGAATCTAGTAAATCTAGAATGATAAAAGCAAGGCGCCTTCGTTGAAAAAGATGGATTTGAATACGTTCAAAGTTCGCGTCTAGATTCTAGTTTTTATCAAAAGAGGGAAACAGATTTTATTGATCCTTTCTATTCTTTTCTTAGATCTTTAATTTTAAAATCTGTTTAAGTAGTAGTATTTTCCATTAACAGTATAGATATACTATTAACGTAAATTGATACTTAAAAATAATATTCATTCAAAATACTGCCATTTACGAACAGTAAAACAAATAATAACTTAACATACAAAGGTAATGACTTGGATCTGTTTAGAATTGATCGTACTATAACTTTTTTTTCCTGTATTATTATTCTTTCCTATTATTTCCTGATTCAATAAAAATCAGTCGGAAAACAGCTATACAAAGAATGCATTTTATGATGTTTTATGACTTACTAAAACCTGCGATACATATTTTTATTAAACTTTTTAGTGAAACGTACATAGATATGATCATTGTATCTTGTAATATTGTGCTTTGTAATCATTTGGTGTACCTAATGTTCATTACTTTTGTTTTGATATTAATACAAAAATTATTGCATGTATCATATATTCTTATAATGGTACTATATAGGTAATAGAAAAACAATTTATTTTCTTTATATTATTTTGTTCTTATTAAATAAATATAATATATACCGATCCAATGATTTCTTTAAAACTCAAAATAAATAATCTGCCTAACTTGTTAACTTTTACATCATATTTCCAGGCTTTACACTCATAGTTTGTTTATATATTTTCAGAAAAAAAGTACTGAGTATAAGTGATGGAATTGAATATCCTAATGGTATGCGGTGGGAATTAGCAGCTTGTTTGGTATGTGCTTGGGTGCTAGTCTACTTCGCCCTATGGAAAAGTATCAAATCTTCTGCCAAAGTCCGCTATATAACAACGACACTACCTTTTCTACTCATTATTGTATTTTTGGGACGTTCATTGACTCTTGATGGAGCAGATATGGGCCTACGATACTTCTTCAAACCTGATTGGGAACTCTTAAAGCAATCAAGACCATGGGTTAACGCTGCATCACAAATATTTAATTCGATCGGGATCGCTTTCGGCTCGATGATAATGTTCGCCTCTTACAATCGATTTGACAATAATTTCCTACACGACACTTTAGCGGTTTCGTTAATTAACGCAGTCACAAGTCTGATAGTGGGCATATTCACGTTTGCTACTATTGGAAACATCGCTTTTGAGCAAAACACTTCTGTCAAGGATGTCATTGCCGATAGTAAGTATCTGTTTACTTAAAGGACTACGCGGTATTGCACTATTCTTCTCAATAAAGACTTAAAAAAAAAAAAAGTTTTCCGTTCTTCGTTTGTAACAAATTTAAAACGTTGTAACATAGTACAATATATTAGCCCATTTTAGCAGATTCTTTGCAGACTTTTATAATTATGGAAATTAGTGATGTCACTTTTTTGAACGTGTGTCCGTTATCACACGTTGAAATGCGTAGACAATTCCATCTTGTTTGTGAATTTGTTTTACAAATTACTTTGATTTCAGGTCCTGGCTTAATATTTGTTGTATATCCGCAAGCTATAGCAAAAATGCCGGCATCTCAACTATGGGCTGTGTTGTTTTTCTTCATGTTTCTCTGTCTTGGACTTAATAGCCAGGTAAATGTTTAAATATGGATGTAGAAAACATTTTAGACGTCAAAAATATAACCACCAACATGATATATAACTACCCTGTTGTTTTTCAGTTCGCAATTGTTGAAGTGGTGGTGACATCAATTCAAGATGGATTCCCGGACATGATACGCAAAAGACTTGTGTACCATGAACTTTTAGTGCTGTGCGTATGTGGTGTTTCATTAGTGTTTGGTCTACCACACATAATCCACAGTGGGATATATTACTTTCAACTAATGGACTACTACGCCGCCTCACTGAGTATCACATACCTGGCCTTCTTTGAAGTCATCGGTATCGCTTGGTTCTACGGCGTAGGAAGGCTATCTAAAAATATAAAACAAATGACAGGTTTGTATAATTTCCATTGTTAAATATATGTGATTTTTCAGTGTACAGAGTTTATAACAGTCTGTATTATAACAATTGACAACTTCCATATTGAGGTAAAAGTATAAAGAAATTGCTACAGGTATCTAGACGCATAGTAGAGAGTTCTCTATTGCCATCCAAGATCTTAGCTGCACAGCTTACTATAGTGTCTCTTTCGATTAGAAGTATTGCTCGTACTTTCATCCATATATGTTTATTAGGTTTATACTTGTATATCATGGAAATGTCATCCTCTGTAAGTTGTACAAAATTAAAAAAGAAATACCAAGATGACCGCTTATGAAGGTTCTGGCTGTTACCTTATTTGGTGTAAAATAATGTAGGTATCATTACTATCATCTCTCTATTATGTTTATATTTGACTGCACGGAGTGGTTTAAGCGGTCGCCACGCCGCTTACTACTACGCTGAGTGTTGTGAGTCCGATCCCCACATGGGACGACACCTTGTGTGATCCACAAATTGTCGTTATGAGTTTGGGTGTTCTTTGTGTCCGTTTCATGTATGATTGTAAAGTCCCCCGCGACACAGGATATATTCCTAATGCGGGAGTTGTCTTTTACAAAATAAATAAATAATAAAAATAAAATATGTACAAACACACAAACGAAATAGGTACTTGACTGATCTGTTTTGACTGACTTGACTGCTGAACTAGAGGTCGTTGGTTGGATTTGCACCCGGAACAAATAATTGTGTGATGAGCACGATCATTTGTTATATGTCTGGGTTTTATTTATCTTTAACGTGTGTGTATTTAGAAATTTATAAGCATATTTATCAACAGGCTAGTGACCATAGTATAAGCTGTGCCTTGTTTAGGATCAAACGGAAGCATAGCATTTCGTCAAACAGGATGTACCTACTAAGAGTTGCCTCATGTTCAACTCAAAAATTCGTAGAATATTAAATAAAATGCAAATTCTAAAACGTGATTCAACATCACTGTAACTTTATCAGATGATATCCGCACGCCTTAGGGGTTATCAGATATACTAAATCTTTAAATCCCATTCGATGAGTAGCATTCAACTTGAAAATTCTTGCATCGTGATTTCCGTGAAAGATAAACGATAATGCCGTGAACTATCAGTCGGATTCGAAAAAATATTTCAATATTGGACTGTGTAACATCACGCTACTACCTTTAGATGCAAAGCAGTAAAAGTAAACTATACAATCTGCAGTAAACGCCGACTGTTGGTACGGAAAATATTATCTACAATTGTTATTTCATGTTCGAGTAAACAACAAGTACGAATAAGAGAGAGACGTTAATTGCAGAATAATAATAATAATAATAAAGAAGATAACAATATAACATACCTCACACATCCCACACACGGCTTGATCCTAAACTAGGCAGAGCTTGTACTATTGTAACCAGACCGCTGATAAACAAACTTATATATTTTTAAATACATACATATTATAAATAAATTACACCCAGACACAGAACAAATGACGGTGCTCAGCATACAATATTTTTCCTGGGTGGGAATCGAACCATCGACCTCCGGGTTAGTAGTCAGGGTCACTAACCACTAAACCAACAGGCTCGTAGAATAAATTCTCCCAATTTTTTTTTTTTTTTCTGTTGGTAAGAAATGTAAATGGAGAAAAAACTCTTAAAATTAAACCTTTTTGTTTCAAAGATCATTTTTAGGGTTCCGTACCTCAAAAGGAAAAAACAAAACCCCTTTAGGATCATTTTGTTGCCCGTCCGTCCATCTGTCTGTCGGTCAAGACCCTTTATCTCGGAAACGCGTAGAGGTATCGAGATAAAATTAAGACGATAAACTCAGGTCTGCAATCTCTTGAAACTGTGAAAAAATCAAACTTCAAAGTTAACGAAAAAAAAGATACGGCCGTTTATGCAGTAAAAAACGTATAATTCGACACTCTCAAGGGACTCAAAATTTATAGGGAATTTTCCGTTCGCAGAACGACCTCCGTCCTCCATAAGCGCAGGCCTGGGGGTGACAGGTGAGGCCATCTGTCACCCTAGCAGAAGCAGGCCGGGGTGGCGGCGAGCGCGTTGCGAAGCGCGCTCGCTTCCAGGGAGCAGAGGGAACATGGGGTTCCCACACGGGGGGGTCGTCTACTTATTGTAGATGGCCCGAGGTATGTCGGGGCACCAGGGACTTCCTTTCTAGGGTATACCTGGTTCCCCGGCTATTAGTACCCGAGACGGCGTGCGGTTTTAGTCGGTTCGAGTCCGACATGCCACCGATAAGTGGTATCCGAGGGGAATTCGACACGGAAAAAAAAAAAAGGATATTTTCCGTTGACCTAGAACTATGAAATTTGGCAAATAATACCGTCTTATACTACAAGTATAGAAAAAAATCTGAAAACTATACGTTTGTAATTAAATCATAAAAAACAGGGTCTTTATGCAAGGAACGTCTGTCTACATTTTGAATTGAGTTACCAGTGTCATTTAAGGTTGTGCCAATGAAGCCCTTTCATACAATACCCCACGGTATTGTATGAAAGGGCGTCATTGGCACAAGCTTAAATAGATTTTTTTAATTTTATGATGTACAAATTTGTACGTAGCCCTCGGTGAGCAAGTCCGACTCAGGTTTTTTTACTAACAAGACAACTACTTGACTATACTTTCCTGTAGCATTCTGTGTAATCTTGTCTATCATTTCTAATATATGTATATTGTGTGTTATTTATAGAATCCCATAAGTCATACTTACTACCTAGATAAAGTTAAAATTTACGATCCTAGTTATTCTTTATTGCATGTAAGTAAGTAATAAGATATGATACGATAACGAATAAGTTAAACACAATTACTAAGAAACCTTTATAAGTTAAACTAAGTTTACCTATGATACTCGTAATATACCTATATTATTACTAAGGGAATTAACGCAATCAAAAGGTACTAAGGTCGGTTGACGGACGAATTTTGTCAGTTTTGAATATCTTGTTTTAATTTGCTGACTGGGCTAGTGTAACTTGATTTGTCACTGTATAGACTTTTGTATCGAAAGATATACTCAAACAAAATTTAATATTTTTATTTTACATTCTAGGTCGCAGACCCTCACTCTACTTCAGAGTATGTTGGCTGGTAGCATCGCCAGCGCTACTTCTAGCATTATGGGTGGCAAGTCTAGTGGATTACACACCACCCAGTTATCGGCAATACCAATATCCAGCGTGGGCGCAGGCGCTAGGCTGGATTATTGCTTCTTTCTCGTTACTATGTATACCAGTATATGCTATTGCTGTTATTATTAAGTCACCTGGGGACACTTTGGGACAGGTATGTTTTTATAGAATATTTTAACTAATATCAGTCAGGTCAAAGACGAAATCCATCAACAATATTATATCGCAAATCCAATGTCCCAAATAATTAGCTATTGCCGCTTGTAAAGTACCAAAACTTAGAAAGATCCTTAAATGTATAATATTTACACACACATAAGTATTAATTACCAACACAAAAAGGATAGGTTCTTAATTGAAAAATCAATGGCTTGAAAATTTATATGGATGATGTAAAAAGGGGTTTCAAAAATATTTATTTAAAACATAATATTATTTCTTTATCTCTTATGAAAATCCAATCTCATCTTTTTACAGAAATTCAGGAATTCAATACGACCAGCGTCTTTATGTGATTGTGGCGTAAACGATTGCGACATTTGCTGTTCGGAATCGGATCCACCAGAATTCAAACCCGCAATAAACTAGTCTGAAAACGCCTCAGGAATTTCATAGAATAAGAACATACCTACTTTCTACAGTGAGATTTACTTTGATATCAAGTATAAACAAGACAGTAAGATAATAACTCAAGACGTTTCATCATAGTTATCATTAATTTACAATGACGCAGACACTACACTCGACCTAAAACTGTAATGAAATAACGCATGACATACATATTCGAATATTTAATCATTTGCAATACACATCCTCAGTCAAGTGGATCGCCACTCCATATGTGTAACTGTTTTAGCCTAGGCTCCAGCCAAATATGTTAGGTATGTCTGAAAAACCTGTGCAACCACCTATCGCATGTACTTATAGGGCAACTCAGATACAGCTCGACCTTATACTCTTGCGACTTGTCGACTTTATACTCGACCGTGGTATAGCTACATTGCCTAAACTACGCAACTGTTGCCTTACGCAATTCAGAGAATATAGAGCTATTGCTACCTTTTAGAGTTCCATCCATAACAGATAAAAAGGTCCCATACGGGGTAGTCCCACACTTCACCCTCCATCTGGTTATATATCTGTCTATAAAAAAAGTCGTGAAGTCTAGAATTTCAAATTATATCAAATACGGTGTGCGGTCCTTAAAGGCTGTAAAAATTACACTCCCTGCCACTTAAAGTTTTATATTTTTAGTATTTTTAACGTATTTGGATGAAAAGCCTATAAATGACTTTCTTTTCCTTCCTACAATCATAAAATATGACGATAAGGAAGATCTCACAAGTAAGCATAAAATAATAATGTTGTTAGTTTCTTGTTATATCATAAAAACGCGATTACAAACTTCTAGTTTGAACTTGGATAACTAAGTTTGACACAATTATATCGGTAAATAGGAAGCATTTTGCCGTTTAATTTTTTTAAGAATAAGCTGACCACTACTTGAGATATGACAAACGAGTCTTTTACCGATAACTTTTTGTTATCCACGTTAGGATCGCTTCTTCAAAAATAATGATTATTAGAATAAGTAAGTAGAACAGTCTCTATTTGGCAAGATAAAAAATAACCAATAGTTTCTTTACTATCTACGAATAACTTGGCTCTGTCCACGTGCCGCGTGTTTCCTTTCGTTCTTCTAGTTATCACGGAGCTTTTCTTTTAATTTTTAAATTATTCGAATCGTAATCTTATTATTTTTTTAATAAAGTAAATCAAAATAAAGTCTTAATACAAGTCGTGATCCGCGACATAAATATACCTAGGTGGGATATATTTGTAGGTTTGAGGAATCAACAAAACCAGTATTACGTTTTTAGTTAGTACCTATTATTAAAAAGATTGAAAATAATAATCAATTTTTTTTTAGTTTGTTTGGAATATGTTTTGATCATATTCATAATAAATAATAATTATTATAATATTGATATTTATTGACCATGTATGATTTTAAAATAGATTGATTATTAATTTCATGAACGTTGGTTAAAAATATTTAGAATTAATAATAGGATTTAGATAGATGTTTCCTTAAACATTTGTGATCAAAGTCATTCCATTAGATATTGTATTCTAGGTGATTAAGTTTACTGGTGTATTTATTCTTAGTCCGCATGAATGGTGATAATACCTACATTATTATTGAGAAATTTAGACACAGCTTCTATTTAAGCTGTTCCGATAAGTACACAATCAATCTCAAAGAAAAAATGTAGAAATTATTAAGTATATAATATTCAAATTGTCCACTTTCTCACTAATATGTATTGTGTTATAAAAACGGAAACCAGTAGCACAGACATTACATTTGCCTTTATAATCTAAAGACATTCTGACTTATTTAAACAAGGCTTTGTTTTTTACCCATATCAAGCTTTGTTTTAGGGAAAAAAAACTACTCTAATATAATCACATTTACACCCATATTAGGTGTTCTGGTTCGTATTGATTTCTTAACAGTATACTGACAACAAATATCTGCCTGTGCATGTAAATACTGAATATCTTTAATTAATTTCATAATGATACAAACTTCTTAAAATATCATAATGTTCTATGCAAATTAGTACAATTTAGTTAAAATATGATGTGATAAATATTAATTGTAAATAAACAAGTATCCAGCTTGTCGCTCTAGCAAACTAAGTTATATTAATAAAAATTTAAATCTAATACGACTGTTTTATTCAGAATATTAACTACTACTCATACCATTGCAGATGGTAAATCCGAACGCATATAGATGCTTGTTTCTTAAGAAATTTTATCTCGATAATCATGCTTTCTGTTACAATTAGAAACAGATACGCAAAAATGATCCAACCTACGAAACGTCAGTTTTGAGATAATGAAGATTGAAGTTTAAATTGTATTTGCTCATTGATATCCTTTTTTGTGATTTTGTTGATTTGGGATATAGTTGTAAAAATTATTGTCCTTTTTATAGAAATAGGGTTTATTGGGAACAAATAAATATTGTTAGAAATATTTAATACATTTTACAAGGTAAATTCAGTAAACACAGTTCTTTAGTAAATTTTCTATAAACAACTTTCATTATATTGGCGACAGCAAAACCTATTAGCGACAGATTCAAGCTTTGAAGCATGGGCAAATGCAGCAACGGTAGATGATGTAAATACCATCAGCCAGATTAGCGAGAAACTGGCGAGTCTTCTTTCTTCTTATTCCAAGGGAAATTTTGTACACTATCCCTTCCACCCCTGCAGATGAGATATAATTTAGTGGACCATGATGCAAAGAAAAAAGCCAATCTACTAGGCGAACTCTTTAAGTCCAACTCGACTGTGGTTGACGGGGGAAACTACCACTGATCATAACGCTATGCCAGAGCTGTATGCTGGAAAGCCGGTTCATCTAGAAACTAGTGCATTAAGCACTCTTTACCCTCGATATTCATAAGTCGATTGGGGCTGAGAAATCTCTTCTGTAGTGCTGAAAACGTGTGCTCAACAGTTGTCACTGGTTGTAATGCAGCTTATTCAACTCTCCTGCTCCTTTGGCATTTTCCCAAACTGTTAAGAGGTATTATACCGTTTGTGCACCCGATCAATAAAAAAGGTGACCGCTCGGATCCGTCTTACTACAGGCCTAAAGCCATAACCCCCTTCTCTAAGATTATGGAATCTATAATTAACTGCCAGCTCCCCCAGTACTTAGAAGACCACCAGCTACTCAATGACCGACAAAACTGTTTCCGTCGCCGTCGAGGTCGCTCAGTCGGTGATCTTCTCATACCTCATCTCAACTACCTCACTGATAGGCTTTTGGTACACTCGATGTATCTTGGAGAGGCTTGTGAGATTAGCTTGGACATAGCGGACTTCGTTCGGGTCTGGCACAAGCTCCCTTCCTATGGGTTTCCCGCTTCCTAACCGGGTGAAGTGTTCTTGCAGACAGAAGTATTTAGGTCCTTCTAGCGGTGCATGCTCCGACTGTCCTGCAAGGCTGTGAGCTATCACTCACACAGTTTCTTCTGCATATCAATATGTTGCAAACCAGCAGCATTCATTGCTACGCAGATGATAGTACGGGAGATGCCTTTTCTAACGGTCGTCCAAACATTTCTACAACGTCTTCTTAAAACGTTTGTCATACGGACTCCTATGAGAAAAACCACTGCAAGAGTAGGCAAGGTTTCTGGTGAAGGCTCTTTGAATACTTTCAATTCTTTGGGAATGAACAGCGTACCATGGTGACCATGCAGTACTTGCAAATTCGAGAATGCTGTGGACAAGAGCATTGTACAGAAGTAATTTGGTATCTAGTTTTTTTTTAAATCTGAGCTGCTTCTCCTCTAAAAACCAAGCATTTGTGCTGCCTTAGTTACAGTTTTGTCAATATGCGATGTAAAAGTTAGCCCTGTATCGATGATAAGGCCCAAATCACGAATCTCATTGACCTCTGCTAAATAGACCCCGCCGAATGTTGTTGCAATTAATAAAATATTTTGAAAGATTTAAAATTAATTTAAATCGATTACAATATTATTATCTTCAGAATTGTTATATTATATACTTTATTATATAATTATTTTTTTATATAATTCGATACTAATGATATTTTCATATTGTGTTACTAAAAATGGTTCTGGTTTATTAACTAGAAAACAACTGTTTTATACCAATGCGATAAAATTACCTATAGATATATCAAAAACGATTCACGGATTTTGGATCGTTTTTGTTATATTTATTAGATATCAATCACATCCAAAATCATTAAAAGCAAAAAGGATCCAAACAGCTTGGATCATTTTTGTGATTTTACAATGCATTCTTAAACAATATCTAATGTAATTTATTAAAAGCGATCCAGGTGGATTGGATTATTTTTAAGTTGTAAATTGTAGACCAGTTTCAATATCGTATAAAAAAAACAACTATATGCGTAATTAGATTTATACCTATGTAAAGGGCAGCAGCATATCAGCGTCTGGCGCCAACTGAGGTGTAGATTCTCAGAAACTTCTTAATTCGATTGCACCTACGTAAAGGGCAGCAGCATATCAGCATGTGGCGGCGAGGTCTGCCGCCATACGGAAACTTGTTTATGAACATACATTACATTGCATACACTCACATCCTTATACCCGAAGAGATAGACAGAGGCCTATTTTTTTCTTTATAAAAGACAACTCCTGCATTAGGAATACATCCTGTGTCGCGGGGACTTTACAAACATACATGAAACGAACACAAAGAACACTCAGACTCAGAACAACAATTTGTGGATCACACAAAGTGTCGTCCCATGCAGGGATCGGACCCACAGCACTCAGCGTCATCCGTGCAGTCAAATTTGAAGAAAAATTAAACGCATATTTTGATGACTAGTAACAATAATATCTCCGAACATCTCAAACACGGCCATCTCGTCCCAAACTAGGCAGAGACTGTACTGTTTATTTTTTTAAGGTTTAGCAACAGTTGTTACAGATATAATACAGGTAGGAACATTTAAGTAAATGTGTCTTAAATCTAACTGCACAACCAATTAAAGGCAAACACCACATGCAACTTGTTCTTTGTATCAATATATTGTTACATAATTAAAAAATATAATAAATGAAAATATATTAAATATATTGATAAATTTTTATGAAAATATATGAAATTAATGACAATCACATTTTCATACGTTTGACGTGTCTGGAAACCGTTTATATTGGATCAGAATATTTATAAGTTTGCACATATGGGGTATAGGCGAATTAACACCAAACACATTATGGTGTCCTCCACACCATACTGTGTTTGGTGTTAATTCGCGATTAGATTAGATTGGTGGCGCGAGAGGTGTTATTGGTTTGCGAGGTGGTCTATGGGGTAATCTGAAGTTGTTTTTTTAAATAATTATGGGCAGCCAATGTTTTCGTTAAACAGTTTATACGCGAATCTCAAATCTAAGAGCTCCCTTCGGGCTTCCAGGGTACTCATTTTGTAGTAGTAGTTTGAGGTAGGAGAGATATTTAAATTGCCTAACCTTTGAGTACCCTAGGTGTCGGACAAATCTTTTTTGGATATGTTCTATTCGCAGCGAGTGAGTTGCGTAGCCTATACTGCAGTGTTCCAGGATGCTTCTTACAAGGCCATTGTAAAGAACTAACTTAGTATGTGGGCTTTGAAATACCTTTCCATTGCGAATGACAAATCCAAGCACGCGCTGGGATCGACTGATTATGTTCTCAATTTGCGGTACGAATGTGAATTTAGCGTTCAAGGTAACTCCTAGATCCCGTACAACATCCACTTCTTAAGATAACTCCGTTTATTTGGTACGAAGAATTTATTGTTTTTACTTTCCTAGTGAAATTTATGTGGTCACTTTTCGAACTATTCAACTAGCTTTTATTATGATAACACCATAGAGATAATAGATATCTTCCTGCATTAGGTTTACGTCCTGTTGAGACCTAATGGCTTTTGAGATTTTTAAGTCGTCCGCAAAAAGAAATATGCTTATATTATGAGCATGATGTCTATATATGTTAAATAACCCTGAGCCCAGATGAGAGCCTTGGGGGACGCCTGAGGCAATTGCATACTTGTTTGACTGGAACCAATTGACAACCACATAAAACACCCGATCAGCAGATAAGAAACAAACCACTTCAGCAGATTACCGGTAGCGCCGGATGCAACTAGTTATTTAACCAGCAGTTCGTGTGAAACTTTATCAAACGCCTTGCTTTATCTACTTCCATACCCTTATCCATGGCTTCGCTTGAGGCTTCAACAAATGACACTAGATTTGTACTATGGTAAACATACTGCTGATTAACATACTAATATATTTCTAAATACATACATATTATAGACAAACTGCACCCAGACACAGAACAAACGATCAAGCTCATCATACAATTATTTGTCCTAAGTGAGATACGAACCCACGATCCTCCGGCTTAGCAGTCAGGGTCTAAAATATTTATATATACACAGGAGGAAGTAAACCATTTTACTAATGAGATGAAATTATAGTATGACTACAAGGACTTTATCTTCACAGTCATAACTGGTATAAGAAACTAGTATGATCATGAAGAAACAGGGTCACTAAGCACTAGGCCAATAGGCCAGTCAGTTATTTTAGTCCCACTTAGGTTATAGGGATTAACCCCATTGCCGGGAACAGGGCACGTCTTATATGAAATAATTTTATGAAAAAAAATTGTCAAATTTAGTTTGTAAAAGTGACTTATTAGATTATTGGTTTCATTGTTCTGTGATAATTGTAGGACAAGAGACTCTTGTAAGCCAAATGTAATAGAAATGCTTCTCAAAATAATGGTACTTACTTTTAAAACAAATTTAACTTCTAAAGTAGCATATACTACTGGAATTGCTAATGGAAGAAAAATATACTGTTCTAATAAAAAAATTTGTTTAATAATAAGATTAACAACTTTAATCTTTGTTTCTTATAATATTTTCAATGTTAAAAAGCTTTAATCCTTTTTTTTTTCTTTTATATAAAAAAAGACAACTCCCGCATTAGTAATACATTCCTGTGTCACGGGGGACTTTACAAACATACATGAAACGAACACAAAGAACACCCAGACTCAGAACAACAATTTGTGGATCACACAAAGTGTCGTCCCATGTCGGGTTTGAACCCACGATACTCGGCATAGTAGGAAGCTTAAACCACTACGCCATCCGAGCAGTCATTTTTTATATTTATAATATTGACATGATGGTTATAACTGCACTCGTTTAGATACATGATATTATGCATAGTTAGTCAAGCTTCAGTATTATTTATCCTCTTTAACATGTTAACAGTTCTGTGTACTGTAGGTATGTGGTACATGAGCAGCGGTTCCAACCAGTTTGTGTACACTAGCCCTGTGTCAGTCTATGGGCTTTCAGACCATGAACTTGTCAAATTAGTTAGTGTTTTCTCTGTGGACTTATCTTCACACTTGGACATATCTGTTTTAAACATTGTTCAACATTTCTTCTGAGTGGAATGAAACACTAATACAGTTATTTAGCTGCTAATTAATTTTTTTTTATTTTTTCATCTTCTTACAACTAACTTGTTCTTTAAAATCTTCAGCAGTACTATCATCACTTGCTTCATCATCTGGACAGTCAGCCACTATAACGTTAACAGACAATTATATTATTTAATTAGCTATTAGACATATGTAAGGCTGTAAGTGGTCAAGATACACAAATTGAGAAAGGGGAATGACCACCTATGGTATTAGTTGTGTCTTAAGTTTAAGATTTTGTTAATTTCTGTTTAACAAAGATCTTTACAGCAATACTAAGTTCAATAGTCGCTAGAACAATCCTCTTTATAGATTAAATGATACCTCACTACAATCTATAGCAACACGAATTTATTTGTTTTATGTAATCACAATTTAATGTTTAACCATAAGAAAACAGAATTTTATACACCTTAACGATTTCTTCATAACTTCCAAAGATTTTTTTAAATTATAATAACAAAAACAATACTATTTAAAAACATTTTGAAGATAATAAAAACATTGTTATAACTTCACTTTACCTAAAACGGGTACGTTTTTCAACAATTCGTTCATTACAATATTAAATTTCAAGTCAAATAAATCCAATGCTTCATATAAATCTTCATAATCCGTTGTTTGTGTAAAATATTTAAGCTCTACCCCACATCGTTTTATTTTACACGTTATTTCAGGCAACATATTAAAATTTTTTGCTGATTTACTTAATTCAAACTTGTTTAGTAAGCGAATTTTTTTATTTTGGTAATTAAATAAAAGTAAGATCAAAGAACACAAAATCAAGGCTTAAATGAAGAATTCAAACATTATTTATCGCAGGCAGTTATGCACCTGAAGTATGATCCTGTACTTTACTGGCAAGAACAAAAGAGCTCCATTTATCATCACGTTCACCCAATCGCCATGATGTATATGAGTATCGTTGGATCATCCGTTCCTTGTGAGGGCCTGTTTTCAATTGCTGGAAACATCGCAAATGATGAGCGTAACCGCTTGGATCCTAAAAGGCTTGACAGACTGTTGTTTTTAAAAAGTTTAGATATTGAGCATTGGGAACTATAGTTCCCAGTTATAATTCCCAATGCTTAATATTTAAACTTTTAACTCTTACCTTATTTTTTACTTTTTTTGCAATCAATAAAAACATTCAGTATATAAATACTTTTTATTTTTTATAGTTGATCTTATAGTTTGATACGGTAATAAAAATAATTGTTATTTTTGAATTCCCTGATTTTATTGATAAGATATCGTTAATTGCAATATTAATCTTGTTTACTTGACAGTGGTCTCGAACGTCATAGACACAGAACATATATACCTACCCCCATCATAGAGCGAGATCGGTAGAGTTGCCAGCTAAAATCGGTATATTTGTACTCAAAATCGGTATTTGACAAAAAAATACAATATTCAATCAAATTCGTTTATTTATTGAAAAAAACTTACAGACTAATTTATAACAATCACACTTAAGTATAATTATTTATTATACCAATATTCTTTGGCCATAGCCGCAGTCATCTTCGAATTAATTTCAAAATCATAACAATTAGCTGTAATAAAGAGTCGTTTTGAATGTAATAGACCAGTGATTGATTCAGTCGACAGCCTATTTCGCTGTTTTGTTTTTAAAAGATTAATATATGAAAATATGCGTTCAACGTTAGCGGATGAATGGGGAAGTGATAAAATATTGAAGATGAAATTAGACAACAGAGGAAACATTTGAGTTTCACGCTTTAGTAAACTTACTTCATCCCAAAATAGTTCTACATCATCAGGAAATGTGTTGATTTGTTCACAATGTCTTAAAATGTGCCACTCTGTAGCAATTTCCTGGAAATCATTGCTCTGGACAATATTGGGAAAGAGCCTACTCACAGGAAGTATCGAAGCAGTTTTGCCAATTTTAACATTTTTTGGATCAATTATGTCTAAACCTTTAATTGGATTATTTTTCAATGGAAACCGCGTGGTTATTTGCTTACAAGCTTCGATATAAAAATCTAGGCATCTGCATTTAAACAAATTTACTTGATCTGAGTTTAGATTTTCTGAACTACTTAGTAGTGTATTAGACGTATACGGCGTCAATATCCATAAAATTTCTGGAATTCTTAAAATCAACATTTTCGATTGGAGTGCTAGTTAAATATTCTCTTTTTAAAAAACAATCAAAAATAGTTTTTAATGTTCCAGTTATTATTTCATATAAATTATGAATTTTCGGGTGTGCTGCTTGCATTTCTTTATTTAAATCGGTAAATAATGGTAATACAAAATCTAAAAATTCCAAAAATAATATCGCAGTGGGATCTTGGAGCTTCTGTAATATATGTTCTGCAGCTAAAAGATCATCATTATTAGAGATTTGGTCTATAAAAAATAGTTTTAGAGCAGAGAGTTGTTCCAATAGTCTCTTCACTGCTGCATGTACTGATTACCAGCGTGTTTGAGAGGGGTGAAGTACAAGATCCTCTATAAAGCGTGGCAATTTGGTACAAGCATATGACGCGCAAAGATGAAACGAATGGCAGGCGCATTTAAGTATCAAAATGATGGGAATTTCATTTTGCAGCAATGTTACTACAGAATTATTACGTCCCATCATTACGTTTACCCCATCAGATGCAAAACCTATTAGATTATTTTTGTATGGAATATCATTGATTCTAAAAAAGTTTACAATGTGTTCACATAAGGTTGCTGCATTACAGTGGTCTCGAACTATTTCTACCGATATGGGCTATTCAGTGGGAACCCTTCAGTAACACTGACCGAATAGACATGTTTCATAAATGTAAATCTGTCATCGGTATTCGTTCACCACGTTGGTTCGATCACCTCTGGTACATGTGCATTCATTCAAACCGGGCACGTTCCAGCCTGCAGATATTAAAATTTCAAAATAAAAAAAATCTGATTTTATAGATCTCAATTAGCCCTTTCGACCTACGTTAATTAATTTATAAGCCCGTTTTTCGTTTTCCCAGGAAAAATAGAAATATAATTTTCAATTTTCCTCTACTTAAAATAGCCATATCTATTTGGAAAATGATTATTTTTTACTCTACCAAGCGTGAAAAAATTGCCCTTGCGCTAATTAAATTTGCCCTAATTTAATTTAAATAAAAAACCGTCGTGGCATTTCCCAGCCAATTATTTGCGCATTGCGCATGCGCGACAGAATAAAGGTGATACTCACATCGTCAACTGCAGATCAGCTGATGCTACACGCACGGAAGGACTTTAAAAGTTATTATATTACTGTTTCGGGAAGCATTACGTGTATGTAAACTACCCAAATTTTTAAATATCTAATAAGCGTATTAAGGTTGTCTGTAACAGGTCGACGTTATCGATACGACCGCCGACTGTTACGTCTATATATTTGTAAGTAACTTATATGTGTTAACTGTATAATATAAAATAAGTTAAAAAAATTACCATCACTGTTTTATTTTACAAGTGATTTCAGGCAACACATTAAAAAATGTTGCTAAATTACTTAATTCAAACTTGTATAATAAGCACAATATTTTAATTTTGTTGCTCCCCTTGCTTGCTTGCTTCGCTTGCTCCCCTTCTTGTGGGTTGGAGTAAGCATTTGTTTAGTCACCTTTTCAAGCCCCCTCCTCGGCGAGGCGAGGAAAGCAGTGCCTCCGTGAATATGGCTGCTTTATACCTCCCCCCATCCCCATAGGACTAAGGTGAGATCGAAGTCCTTCCGTGTCGGCCAAAACCGCCTTTTTAAGGAGAGACCTATGTCCAGCAATGGCCTATTAAAGCTTGTTGATGATAATGATGATGAGTGTATCTAACCCTTTCACGTTTCTTTATAAAAACCAATAGGTATTACATAATAATTATGTATTATTATATTCTGTATAATTAAAGTATTAGTTATATCTGAGAAATATCTCAATTCACATCCGATGTGATTAAGTCCTTGTCGAAAATAAATTTTCATAGAAAAAATATCATCATTTGATTATCTACAGTACATACATACATAGTACGTACATACTTTGATTGATAAAGCTAGCCAGTGATGTCATATCACTGTCACATTGTTTTGTGACATCTGTAATCAGTGTTAAGCTATATTTTACCCTTTTTTTTTCGTGCGGAAATTCCCTCGGATACCACCTATCGGTGGCATGTCGGACTCGAACCGACTAAAACCGCACGCCGTCTCGGGTACTAATAGCCGGGGAACCAGGTATACCCTAGAAAGGAAGTCCCTGGTGCAAGCTATATTTTACCCTATTTTGCTATGCACTATTATGTTATTTAGTTTGATAGTAAATAAACTAAAATTAGTCGGTAAAAATAGGAACACTGAAAATTAGATAAAACTTACTAAACAGAAGAAAAATTTAATAAATGGAAAAAAAGGTACACATTACCTCACATTATATTTTTACTAAGTACTTCCATCCCAAGCATTTTTACCTTGAATATAGTCCAGTATATGCATTAATAATTAGATTATTATTTTAAATAATATCTGTGACGTATATGGGAATGAGACTGTAAAACATATTACCGATACGAAAAATGTGAAATTTCTTATAATGGTAAATCATCGACTATCGCCTACGTCCTAGTATGAAACTGCTCACTATTTCACCAAGGTTAATGTATACATATGCATACATGCATATGCATATGGTGATTGATCAAACAGCTGATCATCTTGTGTTTGCCGTGTTTTTTTATTGCTGAGGTTGTTATTACTTTAATAAATAGAATCATTATGTAAAAACGATACAATAATGAGAGAATTCGGCAGATTTGGCCCTCTAATAGGAGCAGTAGATGAGGGAACCTCTATCGTAAAGTTTTTGGTAAAAAATTTCAGTGAATTTTATGTTTTACACCAGGGAATATATTCCTATTTTATTATTAAATTGGTATTGAGTGATTAAAATTAAATTTCTTTAGTTTATCTTGACTATTTATTACAGATTTTTGCAGCAAACACATCGGAAGTATTAACATACCATCAAATATCATTAAGACGTTTTAGTCCTCAAGAAGGTTGGATTGAACAGGATGCATTAGAAATTCTAAATGCGGTTTTGGAATGTATTGAGGTAAAAATTAAATAGAATTGATTATAAATACTTAAAATTCATTTTAAAGTTATGTTTCTGAACATATCAGCTGAATTATGTTAAGTCTAGAAATGATTTTTGGAAATTTCTCCCCTAAGGGATGTAAAATAAGGTATGAATCCATAGAAAAATCATGCGAGTGAAGACACAGGCAGTAGCTAGTTTATTAAATTATACATGACAGTATTAGCATTAATATAATATATTGTAGCTACATATTTATACATTTTTTCTTTTACAGGTAACAGTAGATAATTTAAGAAAACTAGACATTAATCCTGAAGATGTGGTTGGCATTGGTATTACAAATCAAAGAGAAACAACAATAGTATGGAACTCTGTTACTGGACAGCCTTTATATAGTGCCATTGGTAAGTCAGCTATAAGTGATGTGTGATATGATGATGAATAATCAATCATTTTATATCTTGATATCTGATCATAGGATTTATTTATGAAAATACACTTAATAAAATAAAACTAATAAACATATTTATATATATTGATGTTCTTTGAGTCGACTAGGAATATATCCATTCCTAGTGCAGGCATTGTCTTTTTCATTAAATATAAATGATAAAATTCATCTTCTACAGTAGTGGAAAAAAACCAAGGATAATATAATATTCTACCACATTCACACAACGCCATCTAGTCCCAAACTAAGCAGAGCTTGTACTTTGGCTACTAGACAAGTGATATAAATACATTCTGATATCAGTTCTGTATTTATATCCAATTTCACAATTCATAACTGGGTAAAGTTTTATAAATAAAAATGTCGCTTATCGCAGTAAAAAGTAGCCAATGTCGGTCCTCAAGAATCAAAGTATTTCCATACCAAATTTTGGTGCAGTGATTCTTAATTCCCGATACAAACTTCCTCCCCCTTTTTCACCGCCTTATAGTATGATATTTGGGATAAAAACACAACACACAAATAAATAAAAACTACCCTATGTCCTTTCCAAGGACTCGGAATAACTCTATACCAAATTTTTCATCTAAATCAGTTTAGCGGTTTAAGCTTGAGGAGGTAACAGACAGACAGACACACTTTCGCATTTATAACATTTGTATGGACGAAAACTGAAGTAAGTCACTGCGGTATCTTACCTATTTAACCTCTTACCTGTCTCCTCCTCTTACCTATTAACTTTTGTCATTATGTAGGTGGTCTCTTTCCATCTCGCGAATACTATTGTATCATATTATTGATATTGTAAATCTGAGGAATTTGTTTGTTTGGTTGAATGCGCTAATCTGATTTAATTTTGAATAGACCATTTATCTAGAAAGGCTATCTACACATCACGCTACGCCTAATAGGAGCTGAGCATCAATGTAACTCAAATTAAGAATTACAATTATTATTCTGTACTGCTTGACAATAGTTCTGAACTAGTAATTTATTATTACTGATTTGTTTTCATCACATTACCATTCTCAATTCCACAATGTTCTTGTTGTTAGTATTTGTATGAGTATTGTATTTACTTCAAAAGTAACATAATATCCTCTTCAGTCTTAAGAGGTAGTTTCATATTTAATGAAGACCTGAACCATGCCCCAGTTGGTCCCGTATCCATGTAGTCTCGCTGGAGGTTTGAAATGTTGAGTGGTACAATTGAAGCAATCCACAGTAATCCCTTTAATGAGCTAAAGTCTATCAAATCTCGTACTTTTCTTGGGTCTGCAGCCCAGTAACTTGGTTCACCGCTCGAAATTGCATGTAGGTGTAGATCATACATAGCAGCCTGGAGTTGCCGTTCTTTGGTACTTGTTAAACGAGAACCCATAGAGTGTTTTTAGTAGTGACCAACCGACTTTTTTATTTTTCGGAATTTTCCCTTATACTGTAAGACCTTGCTTTTAACCAACATTGACAATTCTAGGTCAACTGGAAGTACCATATAGGTTTTGGAACCAAAACCTACCCTAAAGGTTTAGGAACCAAAACCTATAGGGTACTTCCAGTTGACCTAGAATCACGAAGTTTGGCAAAAAGCAAGCACAAATAAAGGAAAAATTCCAAAAAAAATAAAAAATCGATAATTAAGGTAAATTTTGGTACATATAGTTTTCGCGAAAATCTACGTAAAATCTGGATAGGTACGGCACCCTCGGCGCACGAGTTCGACTCGCACTTGACCGGTTTTTTTTATCTACCTTCTTAAGTACATTTTCTCTTGTTTAGAATGAATGCCGTGTGTCTACCTTATTGCGATGGTTTTAGGTGGTATGTAAGGATTTCAAAATCCAATCGAAATTTTAAAATGCTTTTTTGAGTTTCGGTTTCGGCCGAAACTGAAACAAGGGCCGAAAGTTCGATTTCGGGTTTAGCTGAAAAACTGGTTTCGGTCGGACAATAGTTTTTAGAATTGTAATCTCCAGTGTTGAAAAATTTACATACTCCTCTCATAATTTCTAAGTTAATGATTGGTTTTTCATTTCAATGTTTCAGTTTGGTTAGATGTAAGAACTTCAAAAATTGTAGATGATCTGATTAAAGTAAAAGGAGCACATTGTGTTAATGCTGTTACACAGACTAGTGGGCTTCCCCTCTCGACATATTTTTCATCTGTTAAACTGAAATGGCTACTACAAAATGTGGCCGATGTGAACGACGCGGTAACACATGGCGAATGCATGGCTGGTACTGTGGACTCTTGGTTAATATGGGTAAGTTGCTATACATTTGTAAACCTACAGTGCAAAATCTATAATCCAATACGTGTAGTGTTATGTTTAAAATGATGAAAAATGCCTGACAGAAGCAGAGGCCTGAACTGAAAAAAAACATTCTTCACTTAAAATGTTTTTTCTACAGTCACACTGGGCTTACATAATTGTAAGCTCAGTGTAAGCAAACCTAATGCTTTACTTCAGTCTGGCCCATGAGCAGCAGTGGACGTCTTTCGGCTGAGATAATGATGGCAAACAACAAGCAAGTGTTTTAGTCGACATCGCTTAATTTATTGCTAATTATGATGCTTTTACTTTTTGGGTACTCAACTTCATAAAAATGTCAATATTTCTTCGTATCACATGTGATCTAACTATAATTCTGCACAATTAACAGCAGTATTTTCTTTCAGAACTTAACAGGTGGCACCAATGGCGGAATTCATATTACAGATGTTACAAATGCTTCTCGAACACAGCTTATGTCATTGAGGAGCTTGCAGTGGGATAAGGGATTGTTACGTTTTTTCGACATACCAGTAGAAATATTACCAAAGATTAAAAGTTCTGCAGAAATATATGGTTATATTTCTTCAGGATCACTTCTTGGCGTACCGATTGCTGGGGTCAGTTTTTATTGTTTTTACCTGACTACCTACGGCGAAGCTTGCAGGAGGTTAATGTTTTTCCTGTGTTTGTATTTTATACCTATGTTATTAAACTGACACTATTTATAGAAAGATTGCCTATATAGTAATAATGTGAACTTGTTTGTAATATGTATTTATATTTGTTGGTCACTACAGCCTCAGTTTGTTAATCGGGCAATCTTTTAAATATTTAGCGCCAGACATATATTAGTAAGTTATTAACTGCACCTTGGTAATCCTGTTAAATTTATTTTTTTAATTTTTTTCCCTGTTCTAACTTTATGTTTATTTAGTTACTTAAACTATAACTACGCTAGCTGAAGTAGGAATATGTTTTTGTTGCCTAATGCTTACCCTTTTGCAACCAATGTGATTTGGGACTTTAAACTTTATTGTCATGCATTAAGAGTTGTACCGTATACAACTGATTGCGATTTATAGCATTGAAGTCAAATGAACCCTTAGTAACTATTTACTGCATTATTGAAGTAGGTACCTATTTGACATAGGCATACTTGCAATAATTTTAAACCAAGTAAATACCTATTACAAATGAAAGAAAATCGAGAAACTATCCTCACAACTGAAATAAGATTATTATCATAGCATCTACATAAGGGAGCATACCCATATTACGTGACCCGTTAGGACGGGACGGGAAAATACCACGTCTGGTCAGACTGGCGGGAGGAGGCTTAGGGTTTCGTCTCGTAGTCAATGTCCTGTAGGGAAATTTCGCGACAAAGACATTTATTGCAAAGAAAACTGTGTTACATAAATAGATGTTTTGTGGTAAGTAAAGTTTCAACAGTTACCCAATCGGGCATTGCAATTTTAAAGTACACTATAAATAAAAATGGAAGATTACAATAAGTTTAAAAGGCATGCAAATTAGAGAGATTAGAGAGAGAGAAAATACTCTTGCAAATTATAGAATACATTCTTTATTAACCATTTTCTTTAGAGCATTTTTGAACATTTTTCCATCTAATATCATTATTTCTAGCGGGAGCTTATTAAATACTCTTGCGAAATTGTTTGTCTAACAAGCCAATGAAATTATTGCAATGCAATCTAATCCTTAAATATTTAGATTACTAATTACCATAGCTGGTTTAATTATAATTTTTAATTGCTTAATAACAATAAAATCATTTTTATTACTCTAGATATAAATAACAAATAGGTACATGCTACAAAATACGTAAAAATACTTCCTCCAGGAATTTAAAAGGCGATAAGAATACACATTTTCATATTGTATTATTCAGAATTAGATCCTTAATATAATGACATTACATATTACATGAAATAATAATATACATTGCACTATATATTTTATATTACAACACTTCAGTGTTTGGGGGATCAGCAAGCAGCCCTCGTTGGACAAGGATGCATGCGATTTGGTCAAGTGAAATGTACTTACGGCACGGGATGTTTCCTATTATACAATACAGGTTATCTTTTTACCATCTTCATTTTTTTTGATCTAGTAACATTGGAGGCCAACCACAAATTACGTCACACAAATTTCATAATCAGAACTGGTCACATTTGTGACACGGCCCCTCTCTTAGTGTGACGTCACATATTTTGCTGTTTTAAATATATGAATTGGAAATTCCATATTCTTAATCCGTGACTGTGTGGTGACGGATTAAGAATACGGAATGTCACCACCCCTATTCATCCCGTGGGTGTCGTAAGAGCCGACTTAGAAAGCAAACTACTCAGGACAACAGCACTGCAAAGAGAAGGAAAACTTGACACAAACCCTATACATACCCGTCTGGTCAGAGTGGTATAGTAGGCCAAAACATCCTTTCTAAGGAGAGGCCTATGTTCAGCAGTGGACTGTTATAGGCTGTTGATGATGATGAAATCTAGAAATAATTAAATTTAAACAGCAGTATCAAAAATTGTTTAATTTCCATTTAATTATTTTTAATAATATTAAAATCAAATCAATTTTTTTTTAAAGTTAAAACAAAAAATTATGAATCATTTTACTGTTAATCATGTATATTTCGCACTTTAAGAGATTAAATTATTAGACTTAGAAATGTGAAGTCACGAAACTTAGGACCTCTTCCATCCCTTGACGTGTGACGTAATTCATAATTTATTTAAGTAATTCATAATTTATTATTTTCAGGAGATTCAATTATACATTCACAACAAGGACTCCTAACCACAGTTGCTTATAAACTTGGACAGGATGCACCACCAGTGTATGCTTTAGAAGGATCTGTAGCCATAGCAGGTGAGTTAAAATTTTTAATAACATATTAGGTAATTATTCATCAACAGCCTCTAACAGTCTACTGCTAGACATATGCCTCTCCTTACAATGGAGGTTTTGGCCTAGTATACCACGCTGGCCAGACGGGTTGGTATAGGATTTGTTTCAAGTTTTCCTTTTTTTTTGCAGTGCTGTTGTCCTGGTTATTGTAGACAAAAATCCAATGATCATTTGGCGATTAAATGCTCATTTAACGTTATAACAGGTGACACAATGCAATGGTTACGGGATGGTTTAGAACTCATAAGTGATATACGCGATACTGAGTCTCTGGCAGGACAGGTCAGTGATGACGATGAAGGAAATATTTGTTTCGTACCGGCATTTAACGGTTTATATTCTCCACATTGGAGGAAAGATGCGCGTGGGTAAGTGAACCATATTATTATTATATACAATCTGTGATGAAGGTTCGCGGTTCAATATACGTCGGTTAAAATTTAAAAAAAAGTGCGGAAATACAGAAATGCAAATTAAGAACAAAAAAATTGCCGAAATAAAACACCATTAATAACATGAGTCGGTGAACTGTACACGGCAGCGTTGGAATGTCGGCGACATGCAAGCTACGCCGGCGCCGCGACGAGGCGGCGAACTTTACATACTTATTACCTACCTACTAATCACTTCACTTGCTTTTTAAAATCTATTTATTAAAAATACGATTTTATTAATTGCTTATTTTGGGAATGCTCCAATAGCTTCGGACGTGTGCGTTACCCCAGCAAAATAATGTCGAAAATGGTTATTTAAACGTTATAGATAATTAGTTGCTCCCCTTCTGTAATTGTTAGGCACATTTTCAAATTTGTTTCACTTAAACTTTTTTAGTTATTTCAAAAAAACATTTCCTGCTGGGGTAACGTTTGAAACGTTACCGCAGCCAGACATTTTCTTTTTTAATTGTAATATTGAAATAAATTTTAGCTAAATAATTAGTTATCTGGACTAGGTAAATGTTACAACTTATTTGGTATTTGTATTTTCTTCGGCTGCGAAGTTATTCGAAATCCTGCTGGAGTAACGTTTGTGGGTTTCCTGGATCTCTGAAACGGGTAAGCGGATTGTAACCATCTTTTGTACATAACCTCTTAAGGATTAGTTTTAATTTGTTCGACAATAAAATAACAAAAATTATGGACTGTTTAAAAATTATTTAGGTAAGTATGAAAACACTTCAATACGTCCTAACACTTTAAATAAGACCTCTAAAGACTTACTTCAAACGTTATTCTATTGCTTGTAACTACCTTCAAATGTATACGAATTTTCGTAAGAATACTGTAAGTGACTAAAAAGTTATGATGAAATGTAGCTCTCCACGTTCACGATCACAATGTGTGCGGCCTTTTTTGGCCACCGATAAACCTGTGTGTGGATATATAAACTGAATGTTATGCCAATAATTAGTTGTTTAGTTCAGTTGTCTACCTGTACAATTTCAGCGTAGTACATATAATAATTTACGAGATGATTAAATAAAAGTCATTAGAAGGTGCAAGTCCGTGGTAATCCGACCATGTTTAGGTGGTTACAAAAAAGCGATCACCCAGTACATTGCGCTGTCTTTTAAAATATGTAGGATATTATTTGCAAGTTTACTACGGATATGTACACAAGTGTTACAAAAAACTACATGTTTTTTAAATATTTTCTATTTAGGATTGTTTATTGCATAATTAGTAAGCAGCCGGGAGATTAGGTATTGTTTTGAATGCTTTTGTTTTCTCGTAATGTTTAGGTGAATTGTTTATCAACTATGAACAATTCACCTAAACTAAAACTAAACTAAAAAACAATTCATAGAATTGGTACCTGTATAGTATTTGTTAATTGAAGTTTAATTTTAGGGACAGCCACAGAGCTTAGGGACAGCCAGACATTTTCTTTTTTAATTGTAATATTGAAATAAATTTTAGCTAAATAATTAGTTATCTGGACTAGGTAAATGTTACAACTTATTTGGTATTTGTATTTTCTTCGGCTGCGAAGTTATTCGAAATCCTGCTGGAGTAACGTTTGTGGGTTTCCTGGATCTCTGAAACGGGTAAGCGGATTGTAACCATCTTTTGTACATAACCTCTTAAGGATTAGTTTTAATTTGTTCGACAATAAAATAACAAAAATTATGGACTGTTTAAAAATTATTTAGGTAAGTATGAAAACACTTCAATACGTCCTAACACTTTAAATAAGACCTCTAAAGACTTACTTCAAACGTTATTCTATTGCTTGTAACTACCTTAATGTATACGAATTTTCGTAAGAATACTGTAAGTGACTAAAAAGTTATGATGAAATGTAGCTCTCCACGTTCACGATCACAATGTGTGCGGCCTTTTTTGTTTTGGCCACCGATAAACCTGTGTGTGGATATATAAACTGAATGTTATGCCAATAATTAGTTGTTTAGTTCAGTTGTCTACCTGTACAATTTCAGCGTAGTACATATAATAATTTACGAGATGATTAAATAAAAGTCATTAGAAGGTGCAAGTCCGTGGTAATCCGACCATGTTTAGGTGGTTACAAAAAAGCGATCACCCAGTACATTGCGCTGTCTTTTAAAATATGTAGGATATTATTTGCAAGTTTACTACGGATATGTACACAAGTGTTACAAAAAACTACATGTTTTTTAAATATTTTCTATTTAGGATTGTTTATTGCATAATTAGTAAGCAGCCGGGAGATTAGGTATTGTTTTGAATGCTTTTGTTTTCTCGTAATGTTTAGGTGAATTGTTTATCAACTATGAACAATTCACCTAAACTAAAACTAAACTAAAAAACAATTCATAGAATTGGTACCTGTATAGTATTTGTTAATTGAAGTTTAATTTTAGGGACAGCCACAGAGCTTAGGGACAGCCAGACATTTTCTTTTTTAATTGTAATATTGAAATAAATTTTAGCTAAATAATTAGTTATCTGGACTAGGTAAATGTTACAACTTATTTGGTATTTGTATTTTCTTCGGCTGCGAAGTTATTCGAAATCCTGCTGGAGTAACGTTTGTGGGTTTCCTGGATCTCTGAAACGGGTAAGCGGATTGTAACCATCTTTTGTACATAACCTCTTAAGGATTAGTTTTAATTTGTTCGACAATAAAATAACAAAAATTATGGACTGTTTAAAAATTATTTAGGTAAGTATGAAAACACTTCAATACGTCCTAACACTTTAAATAAGACCTCTAAAGACTTACTTCAAACGTTATTCTATTGCTTGTAACTACCTTCAAATGTATACGAATTTTCGTAAGAATACTGTAAGTGACTAAAAAGTTATGATGAAATGTAGCTCTCCACGTTCACGATCACAATGTGTGCGGCCTTTTTTGGCCACCGATAAACCTGTGTGTGGATATATAAACTGAATGTTATGCCAATAATTAGTTGTTTAGTTCAGTTGTCTACCTGTACAATTTCAGCGTAGTACATATAATAATTTACGAGATGATTAAATAAAAGTCATTAGAAGGTGCAAGTCCGTGGTAATCCGACCATGTTTAGGTGGTTACAAAAAAGCGATCACCCAGTACATTGCGCTGTCTTTTAAAATGTTTAGTGTAATACACCTTACGATTTCGGTACAGTTGCGTACAGTGTTAAATACATTCAATATTTATTCATTATTATTACCTATTATTTATTTTGTTTTTTTCCCTAATTGATCTTAAGCACTAGTTTCTTTACTTAAAATTTCTTTAGTCTTTTTTACTACCGGAGCTACAATCAACAGGAAATCTGCACTGGTCCGCTAAAATTATAAATATGTAGATACATGTATGAACGATTCACCTAACTGCAATAAATCGAAAATTTAAACCAATAATAAATCGTTTCATTTCTTTGATTTTTTTTTTGTAAAGAAATAACACTAAAGTAATTGTATTTTATTTTGGGGTGTATAGAGCTTAGACTTGAATGCATCAAAATATTTAAAGCAACAAGTCATCTACAATAAGTTAAAATAGACCGAATAGTGGAAGAATGCAGTTGTAAATTAGAATGCATCAACATTGCATCGCCCAACAGTCGTATACCTCGTAAAAGAGTAGGTAATATTGTTCTGTGGTCTATACCGAGAACCGAGAATTATCTATACCTATGTACCTACCGTTAAGCGTTGAGCCCGTGACTGTTGATTTCTGTTAAAAACGAACAGTTGTTGAATGATATTTTGATATAATAACGGTAATTTAATTTATCGAGTGAAAGTGATACATTTTTATAGATAAAATTATTGGGCAGATAATATTTGTCAATCAAGGATCACTGATAATACATCCTTCGCTAGAACGCGGGAGGGGAGGGGCGAAGGGATACTTCATTGTTTCCAATTTGCATCTAGTGCACTAAACTTGACCCTTAGGCAGATAATATACCTACGTCTTGTAAAGTGCGTGTGCGCTTTCGCTTTCTATTTTTTTTAATATTTATCGTATTCTTGAGAGTTCTTCAATATGTGTGTACCTAATTACTAATAATGGGCATTAATGCTAATTCGATTCAATTTAAGTAATTGTCAATTCTTGTCTTAGGATATTAATTACTAATGCTAATATTGAAATTTCGTTCAGGGTGAACAAATTAAAAACGATCATAACTTGTAGGTAGGTATATCACTTATTACTAATTTTACATAAATAATTTATTTTGTTATAATTTAACTCACCGCGATTTTGTGATCAAATATTTTATTTTCTCCAACATTATTACAGAAATAATGCAATACAGAGTTTGTTCGCGATATGCTAGCCTAAGTCGATTCATCACTTAAAAAAAATCCCCATCTATTCACAAAATACCTATTTACAACGCATACGTTACACTCTTCAAAACTTAAATTACCTATACCTACCCTAAAATTAAACTTCAATTAACAAATACTATACAGGTACCAATTCTATGAATTGTTTTTTAGTTTAGTTTTAGTTTAGGTGAATTGTTCATAGTTGATAAACAATTCACCTAAACATTACGAGAAAACAAAAGCATTCAAAACAATACCTAATCTCCCGGCTGCTTACTAATTATGCAATAAACAATCCTAAATAGAAAATATTTAAAAAACATGTAGTTTTTTGTAACACTTGTGTACATATCCGTAGTAAACTTGCAAATAATATCCTACATATTTTAAAAGCCGGCACAATGTACTGGGTGATCGCTTTTTTGTAACCACCTAAACATGGTCGGATTACCACGGTCTTGCACCTTCTAATGACTTTTATTTAATCATCTCGTAAATTATTATATGTACTACGCTGAAATTTTAGAGGTAGACAACTGAACTAAACAACTAATTATTGACATAACATTTAGTTTATATATCCACACACAGGTTTATCGGTGGCCAAAAAAGGCCGCACACATTGTGATCGTGAACGTGGAGCGCTACATTTCATCATAACTTTTTAGTCACTTTCAGTATTCTTACGAAAATTCGTATACATTTGAAGGTAGTTACAAGCAATAGAATAACGTTTGAAGTAAGTCTTTAGAGGCCTTATTGAAAGTGTTAGGACGTATTGAAGTGTTTTCATACTTACCTAAATAATTTTTAAACGGTCCATTATTTTTGTTATTTTATTGTCGAAAACTAATCCTTAAGAAGTTATGTACAAAAGATGGTTACAATCTGCTTACCCGTTTCAGAGATCCAGCAAACCTACAAACGTTACTCCAGCAGGATTTCGAATAACTTCGCAGCCGAAGAAAATACAAATACCAAATAAGTTGTAACATTTACCTAGTCCAGATAACTAATTATTTAGCTAAAATTTATTTCAATATTACAATTAAAAAAGAAAATGTCTGGCTGCGGTAACGTTTCAAACGTTACCCCAGCAGGAAATGTTTTTTTTTGAAATAACTAAAAAAGTTTAAGTGAAACAAATTTAAAAATGTGCCTAACAATTACAGAAGGGGAGCAACTAATTATCTATAAAGTTTAAATGACCATTTTCGACATTATTTTGCTGGGGTAACGCACACGCTTCGGACCCGGCAGTTCGTGTAACTCCTTGAAAAAGTAGGTACTTTGGTTGTCTCGTAATCTTACAAAGATTACCGCAAATACAAAAATTCGGCAGTCTTTAGGACATACACGATTGCTTCCATACCTCGGTTACTCAGCGATTCGCGGTGGCTGACTGGACGACTGACTGTACTTACTGGATAAACTAATTAAAAATGCGTGTAGTTCATCCTGATGACGTAATAATCAACATATTTCGTTCAATTCGAGTGTAGTAAAATCGGCAACCTGTGACGTTAACGCGCTGCGTATACAGCTGATCGCCGCCTGAGGTCAATGTATTATGACTGCATTTACACATGATGTTGCAAATTACAAAAACAAAAAAAATTGTCCTGTTTCTAAACCACTGAATATTTTTTGTTCATATTTTGCAAATCGTCTAGAAATAAAGTGCATAATATATAGATTAAAGGTTTGTCAAAAAGGAAAAAAAACAGTGTATATGTACGTACTAATCAACCGTAATAACTAGTAGAAACATTTAAAAAATAAAAAGAGACACGCATATTGCCTATTCCCCGAGGAAGGAAAGTAAAAGTTATTTATTTTGAAGTACAAAAAAAATATGCTTATCGGGGTGATCTCAATTTGCACTTGACGTAATCTGAATAATGTTAGAGCACTTAATTATATTACCATTTTAAAACACATTTACATAAAATGTCGGATATTTATTCTGCTATAAACGACACAGGATAATTTGCGGCCTAAGTAGTAACACGCGTCGGGAGCATATAGTTAAAGCGGCATTAGAAGCAGTGTGCCATCAGACTCGTACTGTAGCGACGGCGATGGAAGCAGACTGTGCGCCACTACAGCGTCTACTAGCAGATGGCGGCATGGCGCAGAATTCTCTCCTTATGCAAATGCAAGCCGATGTTCTGGGCATTCCTGTAGTAAGTTTTAGCTTGGCTTCAATTCTACATAATACACTCACGGTGGTATCAATACTGTGTGACATTTAAAGTATTTAAGTATAACGCCTGTGCAAATCTCCTCGAAAATACGAATGACATGACATGTCTTATTTTAACCGAGGGGTGATCACGAAGGCTCTAATTTTAATGCAAAAATGATCGAAATGAGACTTGCTCTTTAGTTCCACACAGACATCATTCATCGGTATAGGCCTTAAACTTTTAGAAAAGCGTCTATTGAAATTTCTTCTCTGCTCAGTTACCCTTTCTTAATGAACCTAAAAATATTGAGTTTATTTTTATCAGTTTTTTTTATTTCTCACTCGCCAAACTTACACGTTATAAAATTACGCCTCTGTGAAATCTCACTCCAAACTACTAAGGTTGCATTTTAGAAGTTTTATTCCGCGTAGGACTTGAAATTAATGCGTAACGCACTCCTAAATAAAAATTATTTAGTATACATATTGTAAAAACATCTTAGGTTCGCCCTTTGATGACGGAAAGCACGGCTCTCGGGGTAGCTGTAGTGACTGGCAGAGCATTACGAGTGTGGCCTGTTAGCACACCGAGCCCACCAGCCGACACTTTCCTGCCTTCAACATCTTCCGAAGGTAACAATTGCATTCATTATTTATTTATTAGTTTTGCATACCTACTACATGAATTCAAGGTAATGTTATTAATTACAGAACGCGATATAAGAAGGGTTCGATGGGAGAATGCTTTAAGTAGATGTTTGGGTTGGACAACAGTGACTAGTGAAGAAAAGGATCTAACCAAACCTGGTAAGTGTTGGTCATGTTGTAAACTTAAAAGGTGGCTTCTGCTCAATTCGCTACTAACAAACATCGAAACGACTACAGGTAAATTAGCTTGGAGAAATTTTTGCGTTTGTAGTAGTGTATGGTAGCGGACAGCGTAAACTGGTTTATTCTGGTTTTGTGCGTGTTTCCACTTTCCACTATCAAGTGACGATTTTTTGCTTTAGATTGAAATATCTCGGAAACGGTGCGTCCTAGGCCAAAAATAACAAAAAAAAATATCGGTTTCTCCTCTTTGAAGTTTCACTTCTATCGTGTGTGAATCGCACACACACCTTTTTTTTTATAAAGTCAAAACCTTTTTCTTTAAAATAAAAACTTGTTTTTATTGAAAACAAAAATTAGAGTGTTGCTAGGGATAAGTATAAAATTAAATAGTAATGTTAGGATATCGAAACATTTTTGTATAGGCCAGAACGATATAGTGGAAACGCGCTCTAAGATCTGAGTAATATACACACCACTACATATGCAAAAATTTCTCGAGACTAATTTCACTGTAAATCCTTTGCACTGCCTAAAAACATAATAAAATAAATTAAACGAAATTACTAAAATTTAGAAAACATAATGGAGAACAATGAACTATACAATTTTAAAGTAGTCTCAGGATAAACTCATATAATATTTGGTCTTTACGTCGTTTTACGTCTTACGGTCGTGGGTGACGAAGAGCTTCCAGCTGTAACTTTGTAGCTTTGCGATGCTCTGTCGTGGAGTGTGAGCTCGCGCGGAGCAATTACAAAGAAGTGTTCTAATTATTTGAAGGGTGAGGGGGTGTTAAGCTATCTCACACTAGGTGTAGGATGAAAGGGATAATTTTCGTGCCAGTGGTTTAAAGATTAATTTTCTGAACCATCTTGATACTTACTTCTATTGCAAAAATCTTATTTATGTTAAAATCGTATTAGTCTCCTAAATAATAGGTCTTTACCTATGAAATTGCCGTTTGGTATGCAATAAGTGAAAGTACTTATTTTTTCAAACTTTTTTATTTCTGTTATTCGAAGTAATCACCCATGCAATCGACGCATCTTTGCCAACGCATTGACAGTTTATTGATGCCCTTCTTGTAAAAATCAGCTGGACGGGAGGCAACAAACTCTTCAAAGGCATTTTGTACTGCCTTTCGGGAATTGAATTTTTTACCCACTAAAAAGTTGTCTAAATTTTTGAAAAAGTAATAGTCGGTAGGTGCAAGGTCTGGTGAGTACCAAGCAACCAGCTTTGGTCAACCGGTCGTCCCCACTGCTCCTTCACGACAACGCGCGACCCCATACTGCGCAACAGACAGTCTCCAAGCTGCAAGAGCTGGGGTTGGAAGCTCTCCCTCATCCGCCATACTCACCAGACCAATAATAATTAAAATTAGTCCAGCCGTTTTGAAAATTACCCGGAACAAATAGACAGACAGACAAAAATATTTAAACTGGTTTATAATAATAATAATAATAATAATAATCTTTATTTACCAGAAAAAATACAGATATAGTTTGTGCATAAAAAGAACAACAGATTAGATTTTAATTACAGTAGTGCATTGTACTTAGTCCTTAGTTGCTACGAGTATAATCTGTACCAAAAATAATAACGCTATCTCTTAAACTAGGTATTCCTGTATTTTAAGAGCTAGTGTCAGGCTATCAGTTTACACTAAAAGAATTATACAACAGGTTGGAAGCAGTGTTGATCTTTCATTAAGGCAAGCAATTTTTAATCTATTTTATATAATATAAATATTTCGATTTGTATGGATATATTTATGGTGTGAGTGTATGTGTGTGAGTGTGTGTTGTGTGTGTATATGTGTTGTGTGTGTAAAAGTGTGTTTGGGGGGGTCATGAGAGGTATTTTAAAAGAGACTCTGTTTGGACGTAGTCTTGATTTTGTAACCACTCGGTCACTTTAGACTTTACTTCATATATGTTAAGATCTCTAATACCCAACTTTTTATGTATTTGCTTATATACGTGAGTGCTTTGCGTATAGTACTGGTATTTAGCAAATGTGGTATTGTGTGGGGTGCCTGGGAGAAGGTTGGTTCGCTTCGTAGGGTCCGCAGGGGGTAGTCTCGAATGCTTCCTAAGGATCGATTTGAGCACAAAGAGCTGACGTACTGTTAGTACTCGACATTCTGAATATAATTTTGTAGTTGGGTATTTCCTGGGCTTTTTGGTCATAACTTTAAGTATGGCTCTTTGTGCTCGTTCTACTCTCAGAAATTTTGTTTTATTTGCTCCTCCCCAAACAACGATACAGTATTCTATAATTGATTTGCATAAGACATTATATACTAAGTTTAATGTAGCGCTGTTCGCAGTCTCCCTGAGTGTCTTAAATATGTGAATGAGACGCATTACACGAGTAGTCAATGCATCCAATTGTTTATCCCATTTTAGTGCATCGTCAATAAGGACACCTAGGTACTTAACGCTATCAGTCCTCTTGAGTGTAGCGCAAGAACAAGACACGGATTGGTCTGTACATGAATGGGCAGTTAGTGAAAAAGAAGAAGGCGGGGAGGTGTTACGTCGAATGGCAAAGGGAATAAAAACAGTTTTGTTTAAATTTAGGGTTAACAAGTTTGAGTTTAACCAACTCATTATTTTAGCAAGAGTAGTTTCTGCCTCTCTTTTAACAAAATCCCAAGTAGATCCATAAACTATTATTGCCGTGTCGTCGGCATAAGCGCATAGCTTGGAGTTTGGAAAGTCCATCGTGCACAGATCATTAACATATATCTGGAAGAGGGTAGGGCCAAGGATACTACCCTGCGGAATACCGTAAGTCAACTGCTCTTCATCACTCAGATACATATCAATTTTAACACACTGGGTGCGATTTTTTAGGTAATCCTTGAATATGTCTAGTACAATGCCTCTCACACCCAGGCGTTCCATTTTCGAAAGAAGTTTGGGAACAGAAACCGTGTCAAATGCCTTGGTAAGATCCAAGAATATCCCCATACATTTAATGCCGTTATCAAGCTTTCCAGCGACCAGCTGTGTCAGTTCCAGTATAGCATCCTCTGTTGATATGCCTGACCTGAAACCGTACTGGTTGTCAGCTATAATTTTGTATTTCTCTAGAAAAGTTCTTAACCGGTTGTTAAGAATCTTTTCCAAGACTTTAGAGAGCGAAGACAAAACAGATATGGGTCTGTAGTTGTTGACACAGTTTCTGTCCCCTCCCTTGTGAATCGGGTGTATTATCGCCTTTTTGAGTGAGTCTGGAAATACGCCTGTTTGCAAGCAAAGATTGCAGATATATGTTATAATTGGCACCAATACCGGAAGACTGTTTTTTAGTAACAAATTTGATATACCATCCCATCCAATAGCGCAATCACTGCGCAATTGTAGGATCAAGGACTCCACTTCGACCTCATCTACCTCAATTACACCAAGTGAATTTACAGGAGTGTGTGACGCATTGTGTGACTTTCGATGCAAAGCATTAACCACTGACGGATCAGAGTTTTTACCCCGTAACATGATTTCTTCAGCCATATTTTTACCTACCCCAGCAAAGAATTTGCAGACCTCATTTATAGATGAAATGGGATTTTCATGTAATTGTAATAGTTCTACTGGGCTATTGCAAACTTTTTGAGTATTCGTTATTGTTTTAATCGTTCTCCATAATGCTTTAGGATTGTTGCTAGCTTTTTCGAGTTCATTTTTTTCGTAACAAGTTTTTAGTTTTCGCAGAAGTGAATTGCAATAGTTTCGGTACCTAGTGTAGGTGATTTTTAATATTAGGTCGTCTGGTACATTTTTTGACTGCATATGTAATCTATCCTGATGTTGTATACATTTAAGTAGACCAGGTGTCATCCACGGTTTTAATGTTCTGTTTCGTCTTGATATTCTAATTTGTTGTGTATGTTTAGATATAATAGATTTTATTATCCTTATAAAGTGATCCATAGCTGAATTTGCATCTATCATTGCATAAATTATCGTAAAGTCTGTGGTTTTTAACTCCAGTTTGATTGCATCATAATCTATTCGAGCATATACATGGGTTCTTTTGCGGGTGGGCTTAACGTCAGCTATAGACAATAGCATTGGTTTATGGTCTGTGATGGATGAATTTATGACAAGTGTTGTAGCGTCAAGATTCGTCTTTAAAAGTATATGATCTATACTGTTTTCTAGTCGCGTGGCAAATAAATGGGCAGGCAGGAGTCCATGAGAGGCATTTAAGATGAGATAATCCAGACTCCGATCGCTTAAGTTGTTCTGTCTTATATCTATATTTAGATCACCAACTAAGGCAATATTTGGGTTAGAGATGTTGTCGTAAACGCTATTTAAACTAGTCAGGAAGCTATCGAAATTTTCTTTTGAGTTATATGACGGGGATCGGTATACTGCCACTACTACCAGCTTGTTGTCGACTTGACATACTAGGCAGTTCCCACCCTTAAAATTAGGTTCCCATACCGTTGTTTGCAACCCTAATCTCGAATAAATTATGATGCCATCATTTTGGTTGCAGTTTGTTAGAGTTGCGTGTGCCTGAAAATCTGTTATTATGGGTATATGCTTAACTTTACTAAGCCAACATTCCGTAAGAATAATTATGTCAATATCTATATTTATTGAGTGCAGTAATACTTGTAGCTCTTCGTGGTTTTTATTTACACTGCGTATGTTTAAGTGTAGTAGTTTTATATCGTTTACAGTTTGATTGACATAATTTAAGCATTCCTCTGGGTTACAATTATATGAATTACCCACGATTATTTGCTCAAGTTCATTATTAATATAACTTAAATTAGCCATTTATAATAAAATAAACATGTTACAATAAATTACCACCCATACAACAACCCTGTATAGAGAAAAACACTTAGTGAGTTTTATAAATGTATCACAAAAGCATCGCAGCTTATAATAGTTATAATGGAATGAATTAAATATGAACTGTTTATTTAATTTATATACATATTCTGTGTTGAGTGGTACAAGTTGAATGATTTGTGTAAGGCGAGTGAGAGTGAAAGTGTTTGTTGTGAGTATGTGTGAGTTTGATTTATATACCAAATACAATATTGAAATTAGAAAGCATATTCTGAGGACAGTATAACAGCGCAGACGAGTGAGCTCACATAGTCATAGTCATAGTTATAGGTACAGGTATCGTGCAAATAACCGTGTGAGCATGCAAAAAAACCTATTGTTTTGTCATAACAAACAAACACTTCAATTTTATTTATTTGTATGGACATAATGAAGTCAAATAATTTATATTTTTGAACAAAATACTTAAAACCTATCCACAGTTAAGTGGTAAGACGGGTAATAATTTACCTTTGGGCACTTTTGCTTGCATTTATTCAGTTCTGCCCGTGCACTTAAGTAATTTTGTTTGGATAGCCTGTATAGTATATCACTTCTTTAGTTCTTCTTCTTTACGGCATGAAACCATCATAAGCAATCGTTAGCAATTTTCTTTACAAGATTTACACGGTCTGAGTTACCTAACCATTTTTTGTTACCAAGAGAAATGGTTTTTACCATTTATAAGCATTTTTCGAGCAACTCGATTAATATACTTTAGGTAGATTCGCAATTTTTTCGTGACTAACATTTTCCTGTTATTCAAAATACTTTTGCTAAAGCGACTGCTTCTTCGCGAAATAGTAATAAATATCATAAATGCTAATTACACATGAGTACAACAGATTTTTTAATAATGTTATGTTTGTGGATAAATGAAATCGGAACAAAAATAAAAAAGATATGAAATAAAAAAATAAAAAAACTCATTTCCCAAAAGTACCATTTTGGCGCTTTAGCATTTTCTCCTTTCCACTGACGATATGTATTTATATCAGGTGTGAATGTGGTACAATTTTATTATTATATTATTTTTAATTAAAATCTATACTTTACACACTATAATTATTTTAGTTTAATATTTTTTTACGTATTTTGAGTCTGACAGTATATGTATGTCAATCAGTAATGTTTTAGCATTTGCAAGATTAGGTAGTAGAATGAATAAAAGTTTTATAATGTATCCACTTTCAGCGGTGGGACATGCTTCTACAGATTTTCAAAAATGTAAATGTATGTAACTGCTTTATCACGCTCAAATCGTCAGATTTTTTTTTTAATACATTACACACTAATGGGTATATAATTGACTCAACTTACCTTAATCTTACATGCTAGAGTATTCTGACCATCGATTTATTTTTTTAACAAATCTGATAGGCTGCCCAAGACGTTCCCCCCCTAAGGGCTCATGTAGGCCGCTCGTCGAGCCACGATGGCTCGTTGGTCGTCCCGGCTGGAGGCTCCACGTGCTGGCTTTGCCGCCCTGGAGCGCTCCAGCCGGTCATCGTCGAGTGGGCAGGGCGGCAGGACCCTTTCTTTCCGGCTGACGCAGATCATTTCCGAGCACGGCTGCTTCGGGAAGTACCTGCACTCGGTCGCCAGGAGGGAATTGAGTCCCGCCTGTCACCACTGCGATTGCGGTGAGGACTCGGCTAAGCACACGCTGGCAATTTGCCCAGCTTGGGCGCCGCAACGCCGGGTTCTCATTGCAGTCATCGGGGGGGATCTCTCGCTGCCGGCCGTCATACGCTCCATGGCCGGTAGTGACAGATGTTTCACCGCGGTCGCATCCTTCTGCGAAGACGTCATCTCGCAGAAGGAGGCGGCGGAGAGGGCCCGGGAGGACAACCTCCACTCGGACCCAATCCGTCGCCGTCGAACCGGGCGGCGAAGGCGCGCCCATCACTGCCTCATGCCGCCCTGAGTGTGGCCGCGGATGGACGAGACGGGTTTTCCCCTCAACCCGCCATAACGGCCAGCCGCGAGGAGGCGATGTCCACGTGTGCCGGACGTTGCCTAAATGGAGAAGGTACTGGAAGGTGGTGCCGCCGTTGTGGGCAGGCGCTAGGAGGGGTTCCGGATGTCCTAATAACAGCAGATCCCGGACCCCTTCTATTACAGGCGCAGAGTGGCACACCGTGTGGTTTTAGTCGGTCCGATTCCGACACACCACCCCGCCGCAAACCCCGGTGGGGTGACGGCCAAAGGGTTTTCCACGTGTAAAAAAGGAAAAAAAGATGGTGGAGGTACTCAACTGGGTGTAAGGTATTCCTGCCTATCTTAATCTGACACGCTCGAGTAAATCTCGAAATCTCTTCTAGGGCTCCCGTACTATTTGTCAATATCCGTTTCTAGAATAGGTATGTTTTTTTTACAGATGAAACAGACCGCACAGTAGCAGTGATACCTCCCGGACTGTTCTTCTTAGGCACTGCACTGCTTGTGATTATTGCGGATAAGTTAAAACCCCTATAATCAGGGGTTTTGTAGAAGAATAAACTCTGTGTACCTCCAAAGTCAAATGTAAAAGTATTAATTTATTATCTATTATAGTTGTATTGTTTGTTATTTGTTGTCATAGTAGTAATAAAAATGTTACAGAGATATCAGTTATTTTATTAACAAGACATAAGTATGAACATTCACTTACATTTTTAAATTATATATAGACAACTTATCCTATCAGAATAATATAATTAAGTCTTTATAGTTAACCCACTTAAATGAGTCCTTGCCTGTGCTCGAAGAAGAGAAGAATACGCCTGCCGCCATTACCGCTCTCGATCTCGTTCTACCTCCGCGCCCCCGTACCCCGCAGTCAAGCACCCAATAAGCGTTTTATCTGTAAGTATTTTATGTAAATGCCATAGAGAGTTAGCCTTTGATAACTGCAATAGGCCGTAATTTAAAAGTCTTCTTGCTGATACCAGCAGCATGGCACGTGTTAACGACATCAGTAACGTTTTTATAAGACTCCGGTGCCTCTTCCATGACCAGTTTTGGTGACGCTACTCGGATTGAAATGCCAAGGTCTTCTAACTTTGAGAGAACATCTTTATAGTCCAAATTTCGCCTAGATTTAGCTCGAGATAGAGCTCGACCCTGCAAAAATGTAGTTTGTTATAATAACTATTAATAGCAACATAAATCGTTTATTACCCTTATTACTACAATTAATAGGTAGGGGTAATTCTTTTTATTTGTTACTAGCTGAGACCCGAGGTGTTACCCGCGTTTGTTGTTATAACCGCGGGCAACGCCGCGGGGCGAAGCTAGTCTTAAAAAAGTAGCCTAAGTTACTCCTTATGTCATCAGCTATCTGCCAGTGAAAGTCCCGTCGAAATCGGTCCAGCCGTTCCAGAGATTACCCGAAACAAACAGACAGACAGACAAAAAATTTTAAAAATCTTATTTTGGCATATGTACCGTGAAAACATACATATGCATTTATTAAAAAGCGGTTATTTTAATGTTACAAACAGACACTCCAATTTTATTTATTTGTATAGATAAAACTACAAAAAATTAATGGAAGTGGTATCCAAATACTAGCGGTATATTGTCAAGTCTTTTAAAGGGGAATGCCCAAACAACTAAGGAAAATAGTATCGGTATAAATATTACTGTGACAAGATGAAAACTATTGTCTAAGATTCGTATGAGTATGTAGTTTAAGAAAAAATAAATAACATATGCGTAATTTGCCGGGTTTCAGAGAAATAGAGGGGGGATTTACATAGTCCCCCGTTGTAAGTTAAAATATGAAACTTATTATTTAGCATGCAATTCATAGAAAGATTAAGATCTAATTAGAATACAAAAGATGTACACTATACAATTAAAATACTAAGTTACTAAAAGTAACAAGTATCTACTCCATTAGGAGTGAATTAAATACCTACCTAATATTTTGATATGTTAACTGTAGAGGGGAAACCTACAGACTACAGTTGCATATAATTAGGCACAATTAAATAACCACTCAAGTTGATCAAAACAGAAGCTTTATTTAGAGAAAGAATAAGGAACACAAAAAAAAGAACAGACATGGCCAGCACGATCGGAGTGATACCACAGCCTCACAGAAAACTAAATGTTTGTCGTTGCTCTTTACCAAGTGAGTGAGGTAACCGGAGCCCAAACCCCCTGATCCTGTGTGGAAAGATCAACTATTCAAAGAGGCTGCCCTTTGAATAGTCGATGCCTCCCTACTATGCAAATATTCTCTGTACACAGGTTTGTCCTCAAGGGCACTGCGACACTTGTTAACAAGAGCACAACCTATTCTGAAATCCTCCATAAGATGTTTTGCAGCTCTATTAAAAAAAACCTGTCTAAATAATTTGAAATCCTGTTTCAATCTGCCGTTTACTACCTCAACTACCCATCTACGCATTGTGACACAACGTGATTTGTTAGCTTGCTCCGTGGTAAGCTGACGGTGGCCTTCTAATAAGGATTCAGGTAGATGAGTTTGATAACCATACTCTTGTAATTGAGCCACCACATCTCTAAAGCCTCTGTCAAGAATAAAGACGTCTCCTTCTCGAAAATATTGTCGCATAGGCCCATAAGACCTGGTAAATTCTGAGCTCATAATTGTAGCATCATTGGTGGTTGCTTTATATGGCCCCAAGCAATCTAAAATATGACCGTTACAGCACACAATCATAAATGGTTTCACCAGGTTAGTATATTTATGCAAACTGTAAGTTTGCTTTTGGAATAAATAATTGCTACTACTCTGCACATAAACATATGTAGCATCACATATGGTGATTGCTGGTTTGGTCTCGACATTGTTGGGTTTCCATAAAAACCTTCAGGAATCACCATACTGGTTCTTGCTACTTCTTGAACAGTCATGTGACTGAGACCCAAATAGTGAGGAACTAAATGTAATGTCATAACATCTCGCACTTTATTCATCTGACGTTCAAGTGTACTTTGTGGCATATAAAAAAGACCACACAACCTCTCATAACTGTCTCCACTTCTTAATTTGGTTAAATAAATGCACAATGCTACACTAGCATCTGGCACTTTGTCATGTAATTGTGGTATATTGTTCAGTAATTCATAAAATTGAATAGCATTCAGACCAATCCAGTAATAACATAAGTTAGGTTGAATCATGTGGACATTACTAAAATTAATTTGCTTTGTTGACAGTCTTTCCAACATAGCCAGTAGGTTATCCATTTGAGCACCAGTGAAATCAGAATAATTTACTTGTAATTCATCCCAGCAATCATTGTGTAAATGAAAGTTACAGATCCGAGCACTTTGAGGAATATAAATTCGATAGCGACTTAAGACTTCTTCTTTCAATGCTCTAGGTATTAACAAACGTTCCATATTGCCACAGTTAGAAAAAACACAATGCCTTGTTGAAACGGCTACATGTTTATAGGTCTGTGATATAATTTTTGGCCCTTGTTGCCTTCTTTGAGGCTGGTATAGGTTGTGCTGAGGTAATGGTGGTGGATTAGGAATATGTACAGCATTATCTTCCTCATCAGGCACAGGTACATCATTATTATGTACAGGTACTTCCACATCAGGTACAACAACTTCCATAGTAAGTACAGGTCCATCAGCATTTGGTGCAAGAAATTCAGCACTGGGTACAGGTACAGGTACTTGAGAGTTCTCAACTACAGGCTCATCTTCAGCATGCATTATATGATTAGCAACATGTTGCAATTGCCGTTGTATGGTTTTTTTCGCTGCCGTCCAACATGCTCTGCATACTCTATCCAAACACCGCATCTGGACAAGAAAGATTAATAGTTAGAGATGGTTTTAAGTTACAGTTATGATTATTCTCCTATGAAATATATAATAAAAATTGAACATCTATTATTGAGTAATTTAATTTTTATTTATTTGAAACAAAATGATATACATTAAGTTTTGATTCTAAAATTAAATCAAAGGATTATAATTTATTTTATTGCAGAGGGTAGGTGTCCTTATGCTTACAAGAGGTATTTGTCATGAACAACAGATGGGATGCAAACAAAACTAGTTACATAAACTGTTAATCATTTGATTTGTTTACATACCAGGTGTGGAGATATCCGATTAAGAGAAATATTCCTTTCTTCAACTTCAATGATTGCCAACTTCCATGCTGCAGTCGAAAGGAACAGTTAATGCACCGACGAACGGAACACGAACTTTCCGTTATGGTTTTAATGGAGTCTCTATCTCACTTTCACAATCAGTTTTTACAAAGAGTTTCTGCCTTACAGTTAGTACAAAAAATATAGTCTTTTTCTCAAAATACGTGTAGTTACTAAAATGAATCACAATAACACACACGGAAAAATTACAAATTCAAACGACGCTGAACTGTTTGACAACAAACAATAATCATACAGCTACAGTGTTGCCATAATTATAAAAACTATATTGATTGAGATTAAAAATCGAAATCGACCACATACGAGTTTGTATTCGGTGCAATGAGTTAAAAGAAATATGATTTCTTTTGATTATTAAATCTGAAAAATAAAGACAAGTATCGATTCCCAATAAACATAACGCCAATTGCTTTCTCAGTTTATGATATTACGGTTTCATACACCTAGTTTAAAAGCTAATATTTAATTTGTAGTTTCGAGTCAATGACAAAAAAAGTTTATTTTCATAAATTATATTTTTTTAATTAGCATTAAAGTATTATCATGCTATTATTAAATAATTACGATTGATTCATGTTTAAACAACTGGTTATTTCATTTAAAAAAATCGATTTAATGTAATTATTTGTGAAATGATGTTACCACTACAAAAAATCCCTAACGAAAAATTGAACGACTGATAAATAATAATTAATATATAAATAAAACAACTAATATTTCATGTTCATTTATCCGGCAAATGTGAGACGCCACATTAGGTTATAAAATCATCATAAATATAAACAAAAATTATCACTATCACGAACTTGTGTCACAGTTTAAATAATAATCATCAAGCGATACCACATATGGGCATTCCCCTTTTGATTTTATTGAAAGTAACAATACACAAGTGTTGTATTGGTATCATAACACTTATATAGAAAGCATATGAATGATGCGAATAAATCTTAGGAAGGCCAGACGAAAATCAAAATTACATATTATTTTGAACAGATAAGTACTTACAGCTCCATGACAGGTAGATCCAAAAGTTTCAGTCATGCCCTGATGAGTTCCAGTTAACACATAACTGCAGGTGCCCATGGTACCTCCTATTAATACAGGCTGTCCAGTCAACTGATAGTCAACTGGTATCAAGGGATGGTTAGGTGGAAAAGCTCTTGTGGAACCCTTAAATTTGAAGCAAATTTAGTTATTTTCTGAATCAAATAATATGTATACATAGACCAAACTTGTCATCTGCTTAAAAAGTATAAGATTTTTAACAATCTTTTGCCCACAGTTTTACATACAGTAAATAACATAGGATAGCTTTAAAGTTGTAAAAACAAACAACAAATGAACTTACATTTGCATTTATAAAATGAGTTATAATATAGAATAAGGTAAATTACCTTACGGTGAACCAGGAGAGTTTTTACTTTGCCATCTACAACATGTTCTTCAATTTTAGCAATATTATGAGACACATCATATATAAGATGCATGTCTAGATCGTCAGGCGCCATTTTAAATTGTTTGGCAAATGCTTGGCGGGTCAAGAATGTCATGGAACTTCTGTTGACCCAAGCAAAATTTGCTGCAGCTGCCATGGCTTTAAGGTAATCTTGTCCTTCAACTGAATGTATTCTTGCACAAGCTAACTGTCTATCATTTGTCTCTATTTGATCCCGTTTCATAGCTTTTTCCATTTGAACAAGTGCATCAGTCGCCACTTGATGACCAAAGCCTCTGCTTCCAGAATGGATCATGACACAAACTTGGCCAATTCTGTCTATGCCCATTTTTCCAGCTGCATATTTATCATAGACTTCATCTACTACTTGTATTTCAGCATAATGATTGCCAGCACCCAAAGTACCTAATTGTGGCAATCCTCTCTTCTTGGAGCGAAGACTCACTTTTGATGGATCTGCGTTAAGCATACGTCCATACTCTTCACAATGCTCTTTGTCTTCAGCCCACACATAACCTTCACGAAGAGACCAATCCATGCCCATTTCTAATGCTTCCTCCAGATCTCTAGCATTCATGGGTATAATACCTTTTGATCCTACACCTACTGGTATGTGATCGAATAAGCTTTGGGTTAGTTGTTCCTGAAAATTAAACAATATATTAAAGATATATTCCAAATATTATGTTCCAATTTTATATTGATCATTTATGATTTTTACTGAAAAAAATTCCATGTAGTGACGGATTAAGAATATGGAATGTCACTACCCCAATTCATCCCGTGGGTGACGTTAAGAGCCGACTAAGGGCGCAAAAAAAACGCAGGACACCAGCACTGCAAAAAGAAGGAAAACTTGACACTGACCCTATACCAACCCGTCTGGCCAGCGTGGTATAGTAGGCCAAAACCTCCTTTCTAAGGAGAGGCCTATGTCCAGCAGTGGACTATTAAAGGCTGTTGATGATGATTGAAAAATTTTATCAATAGAGACTCTATTGAATACAATTTTGACAACTCTTACACAATTCTTTATGGCTGTAGAACTAATAAAAGGTACTATGGTCCTATTGTAACATTGTACTACTAAAGGTAATATTGATCTGTAAATACAATGGAAATAAATTTTTAGGTCTTAATGCGGTCCTAATAGATTAGAATTTCATTGTAAAGTTTATTGTCGTATTAAGGTCATGTTTATAGTTATGAACATTCTTATTTTAATACTGAAGTATTGCTATAATTGTTTTAAGTATTCATTTATTTTCCGACATTCGGACTGTACAGGTGGTGTCTTATAAAACTCAGTAATAGCACTCTCAGAAATTCACTTCAATGTTAATTTGCTGTGTCGTGAAACAATACTGTCCCGCTTTTATAGAAATTACTAGACTAATCCTGAATATCCGATGGAATCTTCCAGACAGAACCAAGTACAATAAACCTCCTTTCTAAGGAGAAGCTATGTCCAGCAGTGGACTGTTAAAGGCTGTTGATATACAATAAGGCAATTAGAAATTTCTATAATCTTCCGATATTCGACACTAGATGGCACTGCAAGCAAGTATCGGAATTAAGAACCGTAATCTCAATGCATAGCATTGTGCCCCGCTTGATACAAGATTGTGCTGTCCTCCAGACACAACACAAGAACCACTCAATGCTACGGCGCAACAATATTTTACCTTAATTGGCTTAATATCTTTTTCATGAAGATTTGTCCTGAGTAAACGAACTCCACAGTTGATGTCAAATCCTACACCACCAGGGGACACAATTGATGTAGGGTCAGACATATCAAAAGCAGCCATATTTCCTGTAAGAAAAACCATTCTATAGCAATGCTGTTTATTCTACCTTAATTCAAGTAGAACTGTAGGTTTACTTCAAATTGAATAACTACTATCCTTAATTCCAACTAGAATAAAGAGCCTTTTTGTTATTCTGAACTATGTGATTAAAGTTCTAAATCTCATTTATAGAGCTTAGTAGGAAAAAAGTATTTAGTAACAGCAATAATACCTTGATTCATCTCACATATGGCCCTCTGATCACTAGGCTAAGCCTTCATAATGGGAACCATCCTGATAAACATACTTGTGCATAATATGAAAACATATTTTTATACTATAAGCAGACTACAGCCAGACACAGATCCAATGATCATACTTTTCAAACTATTTAAAAAAATGGTGTGAATAGAAATGAACGAATAATATTATGTGTTGTTGTTGTTGCAACATCATTTTGCCTTTTTGCCAGAATGCATCATGTTTTGTAGTTTGGAAGAAAGTATAAATAAAAATTTAAAAAAAAAAATGTTTTTATTTATGTATAATTTTACTAAATTATTATACTTTTCTTATTCAATAATATTTAAGATTGGGTAAATAGTTCTCAATAACAAAGTACCTTTTTAAATGTTACAATGTTTATTAGTGTTGTGCAATAAGCAATATTTTAATAAAAATGTTAGTTATAAATAAATAAAATTAAATGCAAATTAACATGCGAAAATAGAATATAAAAAAGAAAAGAAAAAGTAATTATTTTAAGGTACATGTATAATTATTGTTTAGATGATACAATGTTCCAAGTTATATTGTAATAATCAATAGTTTATCGCTTCCATAATGTAAATTGTACAGTTTTGGTAAAAGTTGAGCTAGGTATTAGGTAGGTATAAATTACAGACCCTGTCGATCACAGCATAGAAGGGAGAGGGTGGGATGGAATATACGTATATGTAAACTATTAACATTTATAAGTAAATGCTGTTAAAATAAACTAAAAGAACTTACCTATAGCAAATCCATATCCCGAATGGACATCCGGCAAACCAACAGATCGCCCGACGATACCAGGTAACGCAGCCACATTAGCGATTTGTTTCACGCCGGGGAGGAACCCACCAGTCATACCAGGTCTGCATGAGTTTTTCAGCTCATCCAGCATTAACTTTTCGAGTGTACTATTCACGTAAAACACACCTTCAACATTCATGTTAGGTTGAAAACCTTTCTTGATTTTCCAGCAATATGGATTGATTTTTTCTAAGTATTTTAATTCTTCATTATACTGACGGACAACCATTTTTGTAGTAAAATAGAACTATTCCAAGTTGGTTGTTTGTGTAAATTTTTTAGTACTCAATGTACTTATAGGAATATCAGCGAGCTGAGCTGAGCCAAAAAGCAAAATTCAATACCATACCAAATCAAATTTAAAAAAGGGTGCCCAGCTTATTCATTACAATTCTACCGCTGTACAAAAAAAAATCTTGGATCCATTAGAAAATTTGAAAAATCTACCAAAAAAACATCGGGTACTACCGAAAACGTTCAATTTAAGACGTCTATTACTCTAGAGCCTTGTTAGGGTTCATGCAGCGTGACGGCGATGTCACGCGACTTCAGTGGCACCGACTCAAAGTGAATTGATGGAATGTATAGAACTAAACCTCTCTTCGCAGTCTTCCCGCGACTGACGACCAGTAGTCGCGAGACTTACAGCGACCATCTAGAGGTAGATTGTGACTGTGTAACGCGTTTCTAATCAATTTATTATAAAAATGGATTCAGGAGACTTTATTGATACAGTTTGTAAATCGTTATCACCCGGCCATTTGGAATCAAAAATATACTACTAATAGAAAAAAAGTAACTACATTGTGAATTTCTATTAATCGGTTACAAGTAGTCATAGCAAATTCTCTACACACAGCTTTGTTTTTCGACTAAAGTCGCACGACATCGCGGGCACGCTAGCTGCATGCGCCCTTACACCTGAGTTAATTTTATTTTAATGTTCGATCGTATTGTTTAAAAAGTTTTCGGAGATATAACAACGAAAAATAAATCAATCTACCAACAAATGAAGCGAGCAAGTGAGATTACGTGTGGGTTAAAGATGTATCATGGGACCTGCTTGCACTTGAATCGGGTCAAGTACTCGAAGAACCCACCATGCCCCGTTGGTTGGTACCATGTTGGTTCGAATTTACGTACAATGCTGTACGCGTCCACCAAATTTGGGAAGAAGAGCTTTATCACTGAAGCGGCGTTGCCGAACTCGTATCTCCGATTCCACTCGTCAAGCGGATGATTCACTTGGCGAATGACATCGGACAGCGATCGTAGTCTGGACGCCTCCTCAGTTCCAAAGTCGCCTCTTTGCCAACCGGTCGGTATTCTCGTTCCCCTCCTTCCCTGCGTGGGCTTTGATCCAAAATAAACTCACCATTTTATTTTGTTGCGAGATGATCCTTAGATTTCCCCTTGTTTTAACCGCAAGGGGATGAAGGTGACTGGGATTCGCGACGGTTTGGAGTGCTCAGGCCGAGTCGCTGTATATACCGATAGTTGCTGAAATGTGCTTGATGATAACCCTCGTCGATTGCCAGGATAGACTGTTCCGCCTGATAGACTGAGCAGTAGGGTGGCAGACAAAGTTTGAGGGCCTTAGTCTCAGCTTCACCCTTCCATATAGAGAGGGCTGCACCCACCCGGCCCTCAATAGCAATACCTATTTGCAATTATGTGGTTTAGCCATAAGTTCAAGCTCTTCATGGTTCAGGGTGAGCAGACATTAATTTTTAACTAACTTGCAAGTCTAAAGCGTAACTGGATAGATATTGAGTATTTCATTTACGCAGTTGTATAAAACAGGGCTCGTAAAATGATTTTGACGCTTAAGGACCTCAAATCTGGCCAATTCAAAATGGCACATTCTGTCTGACCTCCGTCACTGGGAAATAGATACCGCGTCATATGGCGATGTCTAATCAATAGTATCATGTCTTTCAAAATTATACAAAAATCATAAAATAAGCTATAGAACAAAAAAAAATTGACCTCTTAAAATTCATCGACTAATTAAACACCTTAGGCGAGTAAGAGTAGTGAATACTTACTATTTAGTGATTCAGTGACATTTTTAAGTTGTACACTATTTTTGATTTCATAATCAGTTTTTAACCTTTTTGTGGAAAAATAACCATCATAGTTGTATATATATTTACCAAAAAGGAACCCTTAAGTCAAATACAATGGCCTCTTTAATAAGGCTTAATCAATTGCCTTTAATGCAAAGGTGTGTGTGGAATCATTTCAACAAAATTAGTCGCACCATTTCAACTTCTAGAAAAAACAGTGATAGTGCAGCTACGGCTGCTGCAGCTGCTGGGGCTGCTGCTGCTCCTTCGAGTAAGAAGAAAGAAGAAAATTGGGTCAGCTATGGCTTTGATTACAATAGCCAAAAGGACGACACAAATTACCACCATGCATCCTTTTTCTTCTCTGTAACATTATGCTTAGTATTCGGCGGATTTGCTTGGGCTTATGCTCCTGACACACTCAGTAGAGATTGGGCTCAGCGCGAGGCATTCTTGGAACTACGCCGCCGGGAAAAAGCGGGTCTGCCACCAATTGATCCAAATTATGTAAACCCAAGTTCTGTGAAGCTTCCTTCTGACAGTACTATATGTGATGTTGAAATTATTATTTAATTTGAATGCATTTGTCTTGTTGGTATTTCAATAGAGGCAAAGGTTTCATGGTTAGTAAAAGTAAAAAACTTTATTTTCTTTTATTGTCTGTATTCACTTCCTTTCAATAAACTAGATTTTAGAGGAATTAGAAATTGATAATATGTGCAAGTTTTTATTTCCCAGCCATATTATTTTTGTGGATACAACTAATTTAATGTACATAACTTAAATTAATATTTGTAAATAATATTCCTTTTTGACATAATGTTATTTTATTTGTATGTGGGGAATGTTCTTCACATATTTTAACTACAAATATCTTCAGTTTATTGTTAAACCTGTAGTAAGTATTTGCAGTTTTTCTGGAAAGATGTGATCTAAATAATAAACAAATTATACTTAAATATTTATTGATGTTACAAGTGTATCTACTTCTTATGCATATAAATATCACAATGATAAAGATTAATAGGAATTAATGTCTGATACCATAGTCAATAGATTGTTGATACAGGTTGGAGGTAGCCTTTCAGTTAGTACAGTACAACAAGTAAAAAAGTAATTAAATAAAGTCTACAATCAAGAAGAGATAGTTAAAGTATATGAAATATTACATTCATTTATTATAAGTCTACCAAAAATTTAATATTACATATAATAAAAAACAGCACCACAATAATATTGTATAATAATATTTTCGGACATCTGAAACACAATGCCATCTAATTTCAAACTAAGCAGAGCTTATACTATGAAAGCTAGATGGACTTATAGTATACTAATATACTTAATGTTTTCTTAGAATGCATTTAGGTATGATTAAAAAAAAAGCTTATACCCCATAAGCTTTTTTTTTAACAGTACAAAGTCATAGTCTTCTGAGTACAATTTAAAGGAAAATAAATTGTGGTTTAAAAAAACTAAAGCCAACAACTTTAGTCATTAATGATGATTATTTCTCAATAAGACTAGAAAGTAACAACTAAGTAAGTCACATATGCTTCAGCACACACCTCTTTGGTATGTAGCAAGAGACACTACCATACTTTTAGGTATGGAAAAGCCATTAATACTGAGGGTTCTGATCAGGATAATAGGCCATTAAATTTTTTAAATTATTGATTATTGAATTATTGTATTGTCATGTGTCCTTAATAAGTATGCGAAGATTCAATTTAATTCGATGTTTTGAAGTCGCACACACACATACATACGAAGGTAATAAAAGCGTGTTAAAAACATTATAAGTCATTGTTTGCCACATTGAACTAGTACTAGTGACTAATTAAGTAAGTTTATATCTGTAGGGTTACTAGCTACAATATAAGCTTTACTTTGTATTCTAAGCAAACCCTTAGATGTCATCAGAAGCTTGTTTTAGGGTTATATACCCAAAGGGTACCTCTGCTATATGTCTATGAGCACGATATACCTGATTTACAATGATAATCAACTGTCTCCCATGATGGCTTTATCAGTGATATTACTGTACTGGTCTTTATTAATTTCTTAGTTGATAAAGGTTAATCAATTTCTTAGTTGAATCAGAATATTTTAATGTTTGATTGCTATTAATATTGAAGTTCTAAGATACACAAACCAGTTTTCCGCCTGCTACAGCCGCATAAACCCTATCATTCGCAGATGCTAGTGAATTGATACAACCACCCAAATTTATTTCTCCAGCTGCTTCTAATTTACTGCCGGCTATTTTCCACTTGCGAACAATACCGTCCCAACCGCCTGACCAGACGTTGTTGCCGCTCACTGCTAAAGATGTCACAATCATGTCGCTTACCTAGATATGAATGACAATATATTAATAAGGCTGACGCTAAGCCGGATCCAAAAATCCATTATTTATTTCCAAAGGCTGCTGCTGCTCAAAACGTCAGGTAATCTAAAGGTATTGTGTGTACTTAATAGCCATCGTGAGTAAACGTATCGTGTGACCAAATTTATGTTATGGAACAGCGATGTTTAGTTAAAATATCTAGTTTTATAATTAATAAGTAGACTTAAACATCACTTCCGCTATTAGTATTATTCTGCTTTAGTTTGCAATTGTGGTCCGATAAGTAGTAAAAATGATATCCGCGACCACAGGCATAGATTTACAGTACCTAGTAAATCTCTTTAAGTGTTAACCTAGAGCTGCACATCATGCAAAATTAGGCAATACAAAACAATCACTAAGCTAATAAGGAGAAGCAGTGAAACAGAAATTTGGAGCTGCGAAGAGAAATAATGTGCCACAAAAGTCTAAGTACAAGAGAAATGATCGAAGTAACTAGGCATATTCATACTCATAAATTTGAAAGTGAGTTTATTTTTGTTTCGCGTGCACGTCTAAACCACTAAACCGGTTTTAAAAATTCTTTAAAAGCTACCATAAGGTGCCGAGAATATGGCTTATATATTTCTAGAAAATTATTTATAAATATTATAAAGCTGAAGAGTTTGTTTGTTTGTTTGTTTGTTTGAACGCGCTAATCTCAGGAACTACTGGTCCGATTTGAAAAATTCTTTCAGTGTTAGATAGCCCATTTATCGAGGAAGGCTATAGGCTATTTATGATCACGCTAAGACCAATAGGAGCGGAGCACCAATGAAGAATGTTTCAAAAACGGAGAAAATTTATTACTATTGAAAGACGCAGACGAAGTTGCGCGGGTCAGCTAGTTATTTATAAAGAGTCAAATGGAATCCCCATTTGACTCTTTAAAAATAATCTTCGAATCTCATGGAATTAGTCAATGAATTGCAGAATGCAAAGGATGACTTTATTACCTTACCTTTACTTCGTGTAACTTTTCAAAAACTGTATTAATAGAAGAGTCATGCAGACATAAACTAAATCCACTTCTAGACACGAAGACTAGTCTACATTCCGTCCCTCTCAATGGTGCACGACCCTCCATGGTGTGGCGAGTCATAAAGCGTGTTTTTGAATCCTCTGAAATGTGTAGTAAAGATTAGTAAGATTCATGTCTTTATATAATTGAAGAAATACTAATGTTGTTTATCTAAATACATCGCACCTCGAGATAAAACTTCGGTGCATTAAAATACCAACTTTTTCAGAAATGACAATAAACAGACTTTAGAATAGAAATATATCAAATGTCTACATGTACATCCATAAAACTAATTCATTTTTATGCTGACATTAGTTTTAGGTTTTTTTAAAGTGATTCTATTTTCATAATGTTTATTATTTGAGTTAATTTCAGCTCTAAGTAAGCATCTTTTATTTTCAGTTTCTATCGTAATCTATTATCACTTGTTACAAATGCAAGAAACAAAAGGATCATAGCATTGAGTTTTCCTAATATAAGTACAAATACTAACATTATAAAGCTGAAGAGTTTGGAGCCGAGCATTGATGAAAAATGTTACAAAAACGCGGTATATTTTAACCCTTTGTATCTATCTATATTTCGAGGTCAACGGGTATTCAATTCAAGAGTTTGACGATTTTTCGCCACGAGTCGCGTTAAATATATTGAGGTTAGCGCCTGATAAAATTCTTATAACACAGAATTCAGTAATCGTAATACCTATACCTATGTGACGGTACTGGAGTAGTTAGATGGTCTATGGGTGGACGCTGTAGTCGGTAATGGTGGGTAGATGTCTGCTAGTAGTTTCCTACCTGGCTTAATTTCAGTGACTGTTACGTATGCATCACGTGTCGTAAACAAATACGGTGGATCATACCAAAGATCCTTTACCTCTTCTAATACATTGTATGAAGCCTTTATCTCATTGTTTTCATATATTGTTATCTGAAAACAAAATATATTATAAGTGATGTATTATTTCAAATAATTAAAATGAAAAAGAGCGCATGTGCCTATAAGTAAAATCGATCCTAATAAAATTGCGTGTTTTACTACGAGTGCCGACATGCTCGTTACCCACCTAAATGTACACAACTATATGTTTATCAGTTACTATAATGCAATAATCAGGTTTTTGTTGTTAATTTGTACATGTTCAGAAATTTAGTTAAGCTTAAGGATGATTACTATAGTTCACTAATGATTCACTTTGACAATAAAATAATTAACCACAAAAAATATATAACAGATTTCAATGCGCCTATGAATACGCCGGTGAATTGTAAAAAACTATATTCTTCATTTTTTTTTTTCACTCTTAGAGGTATGGAAATTTTTGGTCTGAGAAGTAAAAATCGTGTACTACCTTAAAGGTGTTATTCTTTTTATTATATTTTATTTTAACTAATAATTTTAAGACACAACAATGTGACTTTTAACAAATTATTAATGAAACCAACTTACATTGCCACTTTCATCTCCACCATATACATGAGAGCCAAAAACCTGTACAGTACCAATATCAGCCCCAGCAAAAGGTAATTCAGTGACCTTCTGACCGGTAAGAGTCCAAACCCTGATGCCTCCATCGTTGGATGATGAGTATAGGTAATTGTTTCCCGTAGCCAGGGCAAACAACTGAACCCCATGCGCTTGCCATGATTCTTTTGGAGACAATTTACCGTCAAATGACTGAAAAAATGTTTACTAAATTAAGAAATTTAATAATTTTAAAATATTATTCTAAAAAGTGGATCATGATAATAATAATTATTATTGTGTTCGAATTTCTTCACGTTCTAAAAAAACTTGCCCTGTTTATGGACTTATCTGAAAAGTCCATAGTAAAATAGAGACAGTACCTACTTAATAGGAATTTTCAATTTACTCTTTTAATTGAGAAATATACAATGTTTTCTATGAAAAAGTAAGTACACTAGATTTTTATAATTTCGGTACAACATAATCAAACTACAACATTTATTCAAGTGTGACCTTTGTCAACAAACAAAATATTTAATAGACTCACCTTTATGCATCCATCTTCAGTACCAACTAACAATTGGTTGTCCCAAGCGAGAACACAAGGATCAGAATCAAGTTTAACTTCGGCTTCAATTTTTAGTAGCATTTTTAATGAAATATTTTAAACAGTTACTAAAATTAAGAACTACGTGTTCTATTTGTAAGTTATCAAAATATACTGTGTATAGTGGGCGCGTTTACGGACTAAAATAAACCTAAAGTAGCGTTCAGTGATCTCCGGGAACTTTCCATACAGAAATAGCGATACTAGATATGTCAGTTTAATTTTGGGACTATTCCAGTGATTGACAGTCAGTGCGCTATGTAATAAAAGGAACCTGGTTAAATCAGATTGCATGATGGCTTCGAGAACTTAATTATCTGAGAATGGGGTATTAGGTTAAACGCTACAAACTTCATCTGTTTCAGTTAAATTTTTGTTGCATGCTTTTATTTCGATATTTAGCATTTAATCTGGAAACCAAGTTAAGTTTTCAAAGTATTGTTATATTTCCTACCGAGCTATTAAATATAAAACAACTCTACACATATAATACCTGTATCTTAGTTAAAAATAGCAACTAATACAATTTACACCAACATATAGTTACAGAAGGGAGAAACTAGACATAATTTAAGGAACGCGGGCTAGCTTCAACTAATTCAGCCACTAACTAATTGCGTAAGGAAAACGATATTATTCGAAGGAGCACGGCTTTATAATACACTATTAAACTACATAAAAGAGTGTAAAAATATGTTCAAAACCAAACTCAATGACTACTTAAGAAGATAAATCAGTAATGTAATGCCCCAGAGGCTAAATATTTTGTATTATATTTCTAATAATCATTTTATTATAAGTAGACTTTAAGGCCAAATGATAAAGTTCATTGTTCATTGTTATCAATTGTATTGAAATTTCCCATTCGTAATACCTACTCCAATTCAGCGCAGGTTCCTTTTCGAATCAGTTGAAAAACTTGACAAATAATATCGTAGACAACCAAATTTGTAAAAAAAACTAGCTGACCCGGTAAACGTTGTTTTACCATATACATTATTGTTGTATGTATTTTTCATTGCTAAATCATAATAAAATAAAAATAAATTAGATAATTGTAATGTTGTCCGGAAATATATTTTTTATTATATAACACTCTGCTAGAGTATATACGGCCTATTGAACAGTATATACACTTATTACACTCAGTGTAAAGTTCAATAATTACCTGATCCGTATAGTGCCAATCCGAAAAAGTTAAACTCAATATTATATTTCATTAAACTACTCGATATCTATGTATTACTAGAGCTCGTCATCGAGTTTTATATTTTTTATTGAGTTCAAAACTTAAATGTTTTGCTTCATTTCATAGACCACTAAACTAACATTATAATTATCTATGTAAGTAGTCTCACTGTACTATTACAGGTCATCACATAGATTTGATACATGAATGTAGCTTCAAAGTCGTTTCCACATCACATCAACAGCCTATACTAGTCCACTGCTGGACATAGGCCTCTCCTTAGAAAGGAGGTTTTGGCCTACTATATAACGCTGGCCAGACGGGTTGGTATAGGGTTTGTTTCAAGTTCCGACAGCTTGCTCCAAAGCTGGTCGGCGCTGCGTCTGCCCTAGGGCGACTTTTGCCCAATATGGGTGGACCCAGTGTCGCGACAAGACGGCTGTACACGGGGGTTGTCCGGTCAATGGCACTGTACGGTGCACCGGTGTGGGCGGCGGCTCTGACCGCCCAGAATAGGGCACGCCTCTGGCGCCCTCAGAGGGTAATGGCGGTCAGAGCCATACGCGGTTACCGCACCGTTTCGACGGAGGTGGCATGCGCGTTGGCCGGAACTCCCCCGTGGGATTTGGAGGCGGAAGTGCTCGCCGAAGTTTATCGGCGAGTGGCTGACTCCCGGGCGGAGAGCGGATTTCGCCCTCCGCCCGAGGATGTGCGCGAGTGGCGCGAAGCCGCTCGCCGAGCCACGATGGCTCGTTGGTCGTTCCGGCTGGAGACTCCACGCGCTGGCTTCGCCGCCGTGGAGGCTCTCCAGCCGGTCATCGCCGAGTGGGCAGGGCGGCAGCACGGGACCCTTTCCTTCCGGCTGACGCAGGTGCTTTCCGGGCACGGTTGCTTCGGAAAGTACCTGCACTCGGTCGCTAGGAGGGAACTGAGTCCCGCCTGCCACCACTGCGACTGCAGTGAGGACTCGGCCCAGCACACGCTGGCGGTCTGCCCCGCATGGGCGGCGCAGCGCCGGGCCCTCACTGCAGTCGTCGGAGTGGATCTCTCGCTACCGGCCGTAGTACGCTCCATGGCCGGTAGCGACAGTTGTTTTACCGCGGTCGCAACCTTCTGCGAGGTAGTAATCTTGCGGAAGGAGGCGGCGGAGAGGGCCCGGGAGGACGACCTCCACTCGTACCCGATCCGCCGCCGGCGAACCGGGCGGCGGAGGCCCGCCTATCACCGCCTCATGCCGCCCTGAGTGTGGCCGCGGGTGGACGGGGTGGGTTTCCCCTCCACCCGCATTAGTTTGGCCAGCCGCGAGGGGGCGGCGTCCGCGTGTGCCGGACGTCGCCTAAAGAGAGGAAAAAAAAATATTGAGACGGAGCCTGCACCAGGAGCGGGCTGGCGCTAGGAGGGGTCCGGATGTCTTAACAACAGCTGTTCCCGGATCCCTCCTGTTACAGGCGCAGAGTGGCACACCGTGTGGTTTAAGTCGGTCCGAGTCCGACACACCACCCCGCCGCAAACCCCGGAGGATTTCCACACGTTAAAAAAAAAAAAAAAAAAAGGGTTTGTTTCAAGTTGGGGTGCTATGCTAGAAAACCTCCCCGTGGTGCACCCTGGAAACGCTGGCGATGGCACTGTTTCCTCCTTGTTCTCTTGGAGGAGAGGATTATCGCCAGCGGCTAATATTAGCAAACAACAAACAAAGAGGAGGAGTGGTGGAGTGGATTCGGCGTCCACTGAAGGCGAGGTGGTGTCGAGAACACCTATCTCGGTGGGGCTCCCAGTAGTAGTCTGTAGTAGACTGACTGCTGGGAGCCGAAGAACATCGGAGCGTCTTCGTTCCCGGTCCGCGGCTTCATCAGACGGTGGCTCCAGTGTGTCGATTGACGCACTGGACGCTATGGATGTTGAATTCCGCGACACTGGGAGTCGCAAGCGTGGACGCTCCGGAGAGGAGGGTGTGGACATGCTGCCACCAAAGGTGGCCGGCAGCCAGCGAGGACGGTCGCGGACGCCGATCGCGAGGTCGCGTGCCCCTGCCCCCGTCCCGTCGGGCTCCGCCTTCTCTGGGGCGGAGTCTTACAGGCGTGTCCGAGCGGACGGCGAGGCCGCAGCGGAGGAGGAGATCGCGGATCTCCTGCTCAAGATTCGGGAGCCGGTGGAGGGAGACGCCCCCCGGGCTCCCGTGTCTGTGCAGGAGAGGGCGAGGGCGGCGGTGGCTATCATCCAGAAGGTAGCCACCAAGTCGGTTAACCTTAAGGGATCTTTTGTGAGGGCCCTTAAGGACTCCTCCTCCGCCATGTCGGAGGTCGTGGAGGGCCTAGTAGGCGACGTGTCTCGCCTACAGATGGCCAATGACAGGCTGACAGAGCAGGTGAACGAGTTGAGCGCTCAGTTCGCCCGCTTCCGGGCGAACCTCCCCGAGCGGGGGGCCCCGTCCACGCCCCAGCCTGTCCCTACCGCGACCTCAGGGGTACCTGACGCCCAACTGCGGTCAATTCTTGACGCGGTTGGGCGTTTGCTGGACGGCTTTCCCTCCGCTCCCCGCTCCGACATCCCTGCCGGGCCCCTCCGCACCTGCCCCCTCCAACGAGGGTTGGCAGGAGGCGAGGGGCTCAAAAAAGTCCCGAAGGCGGGCTAGAAGGGCTGCTCAGAAAGCAGCCCAAGCCCAGCCTTCGCCACCGGTGGCAACGGCCTCAAAAAAGAGGCCGCGGAAGCTGCAGCCGCCCAAAACCGCGGCTGTAGTAGTGACGCTGTCGCCGGAGGCGGCCAGTGGCGGGCTCACGTATGCGGCCCTCTTCAAGGGGGCCCGGCCCGGTCTCGCCACTGAGTTCGGGGAGGCGGGGATGAGGCTGCGCCGCGCCCAGACGGGAGCTCGGGTTTTCGAGTTCCCTGGGGCTGAAGGCGCGGCGACGGCCGACAAATTCGCCGAGAAGTTGCGCGGAATTTTCGCCGCCACGGACGGTGTTAAGATCGCCAGGCCCACCAAATGCGCGGAACTGCGCATCTCGGGCCTGGACGACTCTATAACGTCGGAGGATGTCCGCGATGCAGTCATGGAGAAGACTGGGTGCACCGCGGACACCATCAGAGTCGGCACCGTCCGTCCGGGTCCGGGAGGCCTCGGTGCGGTGTCGGTCAGCTGTCCCGTGGCGTCGGCTAAAGCGTTGGGCGACGCTGGAAGCATGCTCGTCGGCTTCGTGAATGCCAGAATCACGGTTCTGGCCGCAAGGCCGATAAGGTGCTTCAAGTGCCTAGCCGCGGGACACACTCGCACCAGGTGCGAGAGCTGTTTTGACTGCAGCGGTTTATGCTTCCGCTGCGGTCAACCCGGGCACAAGGCGGCAGAGTGCTGCCCCTCACTGCCCCGTGTGTGCGGCGGCTAAAAAGCCTGCCAATCACCAGATGGGGCAGGGGGGCTGCAAGCCTCCCCGCACTTCTCGGCAAACGCCGGGGGCTAGCCTGCCGACCCAGGCTGCCTCCGACGTCAATCATGCGTCGACGCCGACGCCCATGGAGGAGGTTGTAGAGACGATCCAGTAATGGATCAAGTCTCCAACCTCCTGGTCCAGACGAATCTGAACCACTGTGCTGCGGCGCAGGATCTCTTCCTGCAAACCATGGCACAGTGGTCGATAGGTGTTGCCGTAGTCGCGGAGCCCTATTTTGTCCCTCCCCGTCCAAACTGGATGGGTGACCGGGACGGCTCCGAGGCAGTCGTCGGCTCCACGGCGGCTCATTCCCCGCCCTTGTCGCTAAGGGACAAGGGTACTGGATATGTTGCCGCCGATTGGGGGGGAATCACCATTTATGGTGTATATTTCTCCCCCAACCGGAGTTTGAACGACTTTGAGGCCTTCCT